ACCCGCGACGCTGGCCCCCTCCTTCCCCCAAACGCACACACGCGCGCGCAGATCCCTGCCCCGCCGGGCAGAGAAGGAAGAAGTGGGAAAGGAAGAGGGCTAGGGGTGGCTGAGGAAGCGCATCTGCCTCCTTCCAGTGCGGACCCCATACCCCGGAGAGCCCTCTACTGAGACCCACCGGGAGGACCGCGCTGGGGATCTCGTAGAAACTGGACATTCTCTTTCCACCCACGTCGGTTCCTTTTTGCCACCCGTCTTCTGTGGCTCCTCAACGAAGATCTGCCAAACCCCGCAGCCCAGCCGCCCCTTCTGTGCCTCAGGGAGTGAGGGGCAGCATCGGCGCGGTAACAGAGGCTCTGGGCTGACCAGTGCTCCTTGCTGTGCACCTTTGGGCATGCAGTTTAACCTCTCTGTGCCATAGAATTGGTATGAAGATGAAAAATATTCTATTTTCTAACATTTTTAGATGCTTTATATGTGTCAGGTACTATCTTAAGCAACCTGCTTCCCTTATTTCATTTAATCCTTACATTAGTCTCACGAAGTAGGCATTATTATTGTGTCCATTTTACAGACAAGGAAACTGAGGTCTGAAGTTAAATAAATTGCTTCCCCAATATTACACAGCTAAATGAAATAATATGTGTGGGAAAGGACTTTGGGAAGAAAATACGTGTAAGGATAATACTTTTACACATGATGATCATATTCCATTACTAAAATCCTCTGCCAAGAGAACTCTAAATGGAATAACTAAAAATAACTAATTTACTCACTGCCCCCAGGCTTGCTGAGAGCCATCCCTGGGTAGAGTCACAGCATGAGGCGGGGTTTCTTCCTTAGAAGACGGGCATACATAGCCCCACCCTACACAACGACAGCAAAGCGCTGGGTCACCACGAAGGAGGGCAGGCACCCTGGCTGGGGTGTTCCCTGCCTGCCCAGCTGCCTCACCACCTGTGGGCTCCTGAGGACACCTGGCCCATCTCCCTGCCACTTTTTTGTTTCTTATTGGCCCTGTTGCTTTCCCCTCTGGAAGGTGGTGTCACAGCCCCACCCATTGCCTTGCTAAGACCCAAAGCAAGAGATAGGATGAGGAGGGAGGGCCAGCCCTGGGATCCCAGCTGGGTGTGTTGAGTCCGGCCTGGTGAAAGTGGAGGTGAGCCCTACCTGGCCGTTTGACCCCCACCTGGGCAAGTTTCCTCATCTATTAGGAGTGGGAGGAGATGTCCCTGGATGATGTGTGACTTCCATCCAGATCTGAATCTTGCAGTTTTGCCCACTCCCTGAATCTTCCATCTCCAACTGCCTACTAGAGGACTGTGGAAAAGGCCTTTCCTACACTCTAGGGAGTTGCCGGGGGTTTCCTTCTGACCCACCTCTACCCTCTCTCCCTCCCCACAGGCTTCCCTTGGCCTCTGAGGCAGGCCAGCTGTGGAGCTGCCTTCAGAGAGAGGCGCTAGGGCCACAGCCAGCTGAAGTAGGGTCCTGGCATCTCCCTGATGGTCTGATCTTTGACAGTGGCCGTGGAAGAGCCAAAACTGCTTGTTAGTGGTGGTGGATGATAGTGGCAGGCAGAGGGTTGCCAAGCCTGGGCCTCCCACCTTCCCCACCATGAGTGGGTTCCCAGAGGGTCTGTGACGAGTCAGCCTTCTTCCTCTTTTGGCAGTAAAGTGTCAGCAGATTTAGTAACTTGTGAGCACCCTACTTCTGACTCAGCATTTTATAGCTCAGAATCTGCTGAGTCACCCAAGGGCAGCCCCAGAGTGTTCCTTCTCCCCTGGGTTGGACCAGGCATAGACTGATTGGGCATGCCAGTTTCTGAAGCAGGGTCATGGAGCCCACTGGGTCTGGTGCACAGAGTGTTCATGAGTGGGGACACCCTCTCCCATCCTGATGAGTATCCTGGAAGAAGTGGCTTTGGAGAAGGGCAGTCGCAGAAGCAAGGCTGGTTTTCCTGGGGAGGTGGGCAGGTGTGGGTTGGATCTACCTGGTGTGACTTTGCTGTGGGAACCCTGGGGTAACACACAGACTCTTGCTCTAGGTTTAGTAGACTAAGGAAAGAGAAAAAGAAAAGTTGCTCCAGGAGTCTAAACAGCTCTATATTTTTCCCACGTGAGGTGTGAGCAAGAGCTCTGGGGCCCCAGGACTGTCTTCCTTCTAGGCAGGAGCAGAGGGCCTGACCTCAGCCCAGTGTTCCTCTTGTCTGCGTTTACCCTGTAGGATCTCCTGGGTATCTCCTGTCTCCTCACCTCCAGCGCAGCCGCTGGGGTTGCTTTCACCGCCCTACCCTGTGCCTTCCTTGCCCTTAGCTTACTTATCGGCTGTGAGCCCAGAGGCCGAGCAAGGGCTCTGCTCCTTGAAACAGGTGGGGTGGAACAATGGTGTGGTCTGGTGAGCTTGTGGCCAGGTGGAGCTGGGGACCTGTTCGTTCCACCCTGAGTTTTGCAAACCAGGATTCCTAGAATACCCAAGTATGCTAGGGAAGGATACTAGGGAGGGACATTGCCTCCTGCCTGATGTTTGGAAGGGGACCAGGGAGGAGGCTCTACCTCCTTCAGTGACCCCTTTGGGTAAGGCTAGTGGACAGCTCCCTTCCCAGGAGGGTGGTGGGAACCAGGGCGGGTGGGATCAGGTCTGCCTCCAAAGTTGGTGTGTGTTTTTCTGGAGGGGAGGCCTCTGTGCAGGGCCTGGAGCAGGGCTGAGGAAAGGTGAGAGGTGGGTAAAGTATGCCTGCTTATTAACAAACAACAGGGTCTGAAACACCCCAATGCCTGTCTTCCTCTCCCTCCTGCCCTTAGCCCTCTTTGGTATGTGCATGTATATGGGGGTGGGAGTTTTGGGGAACCACTCGATCGTGACCAGTGGACTAAGATGGCATCTTCATGGGCCCCTATTTCAGCATTTCCTAACCCAGAAACTGCTGAGTCACAGAGGATTTGTTCTGACCTTATTTTTCTCCTAAGCTGGCTTCTAGAATCTTTGAGTAGGAAAGGATCTTAGAGCTCAACTTCCCCAATCCCTCTGTGGCACGAGGAGACAGGCAAGCAGACCTGTTCCAGACAGGTGCCCATCAGACTATTCCTTGAGTGTGCTCAGTGACAGCAAGCCTTGTTCCCAGGGCCCTTTAAGAAACCAAACAGCTCCCTCAAATGAAAACATGGGATGCCTGTGAGGAGTGGGAGGGACTTCTGGGGAAGGTGGCTGGTATAAAATCCAGATCTTGTAGGCTGTAAGAGGAAGCGGTGGGATGATTGTCCTGTCCACCTCTGACCCGCTCCAGCATCCAGACTAGCACCACCCTGATCTCAGTGGGTGGGGGACCCAGGCCTCCAACCCCTGAAGAAGAGTGGAGGTGGGCAGGGGCACAGCTAGGAGAGTGTTTGGGGGATCAAACAGTGGCAGGGGCTGGGGGAAGCGGGGGGCTTGGTAGGCCTCCGCCCTCACTAGGGTGGAACCCTGGGCCCACCCATTTTTAGATGTAGAAACACCAAGGCTTTGGGACACAGCAGTGCCAGGCTCCCATTTTCTTTGCTTGGAGTCTCATGGATTTTTGTTCCTCACTGGACTGCCTGGGGACAGCCGAACTGGGACAGCCTCTGAGCTGGACTAGCTTCCCCTTGCCTTTTCCCCCTTTAAAAAAGTTATGAAATATTTTAGACATATAAAAAAGGATGGACGGTTTTACAAATACCCTTATACTCATCACCCAGCTTAAGAAAACAGCATAGATAAAATAGTATACCTTCCCCACCCAGCCTAAGAAACAAAATAGCATAGATTTCCTCAAAGCACTTCCCTGCCCCACCACCCCATCAACTTCCCTTCCTTGTCTCCATTGCCAGAGAGAACCACTTTCCCCAACCAGATGCTTATCCTTCCTATGCACATTTGGTAAGTACTCTGCGTGGTGTGTGTGCAGCCGCCTTTTGGAAAGGCCTCCCAACTCCTAGGATGCGGCAGCCTGAGTGGCCCATACCCTGTAGCTCAGCCGGCTGCGAGCCTGCAGCTGGCTCTGCCTCTTTCCTCATTCTTCCCATGCTGGGACCCGCCACCCTGCCCGGAACCTTGCCAATGGAGTTGATATTTGTTCCACTCTTTGGGCTGCACCAGCAGGCACTGCCTGGCACAGAGGGTTGTTTTGTTTTGTATTGTATTGTATCAGCCGGGTAGCAGCTGGCATCCTAGGGGAAGTGCCCACCCAGGCGCAGAGGCCAGGCCCAGGAAAAGCTGGGGCAGGCGGGGGGATGGGGGGCGTGGCGTGCTGTGCCGTTGCCACAAAATGGAGGGAATGGCATGAGGTCTGGCCAAGAACAAGAAGGCCACTCAGGGGCTGGGTGGCCCTGGGGTCTTCATGACTGGATCTCCCCATCCTGCAAGACCAACTCGGGCAGTTTGGAAAGAGCCCTGCCACTCAAGAGCTCGGCTGCAGGCCTTGTGACCGGGTGGAGGAGGAGCATGGGGCAGGAGCAATGGCTTCCCTGCTCTGTGGCTCTCAGGGTAGACTGGCAAGTCCCCAGAAAGCAGGCTGGGCTGTAAAGGCTCAGACTTTCTGGTTCTCAGGATCCCTTTATTCTTTTGAAAAGTAGTGAAACTCCACGCAAATTTTATATATGTGAGTTATAGCTATTGATATATACCATATTAGAAGTTAAAAGGGAACATTTTCAGCATTTTAAAGTAATACTAAAATAACATGAATTAACATTTTTGTGAGAGATACTCATGTTTTCCAAAACAAACAAAAAAATGAGAGAGAAGGGTAGAGTTTTGTATTTCTGCAGATTCCTCTAATGTTGGGCTTACTAGCAGGCAGCTCAGTCTCTTACCTGCTTCTGATACCACAGCCACCGAAAAGGAAAACTCCATTCTAGGAGGGAGTGAGTGACTAGACCATATTCTTGGAATACTTGGTCTTCTTATGAAAATAGGCCTGGCCTAGTGGACCTGCAGGGCCCTGGAGCACCTGGGGGATGGGCCCTGATGTGTCTCTCCTGCAGGGGTGCTGGCGCTGTGGGTCCTGGTGACGCACGTGATGTACATGCAGGATTACTGGAGGACCTGGCTCAAGGGGCTGCGCGGCTTCTTCTTCGTGGGCGTCCTCTTCTCAGCCGTCTCCATTGCTGCCTTCTGCACCTTCCTTGTGCTGGCCATCACCCGGCACCAGAGTGAGGGCGGGTCCCAGGGAAAGAGGGCATGGGATGGACAGCGGTGGTGGGGGGGGATTTAAGCACCAGACCCTGGGATTCCCATCCTGGTTCCACAGGTTACTTCCAAAGGGACTGGGTGGATCACTTAACCTCCCTGGGCTCAGGTTTTGTTATGGTTCAAGTAGGTAACACAAGTCCCTACCTCCCAAGTTGGGTGGATTCAATGAAACTGATGTGAAGTCTTGAGCTGTGCATAGCCCATGCGAGCACTTGTGATATTGGTACCCATTAGTCTCTGCCTTGCTCTGGGATGGGAGCGCCCTCTGGTGGCTATGGCAGGAAGTAAGCAGAGGCCGTTCTTCCTGGAGTCTGATGCTAAAGCAGGTTGGAAGTGTCCTAGGGTACTTGTCACAAAAGCAGAGTGGATGATACAGACCTGTGATTGGCCAGCCCTGCCCTTCCCTAATCCCCATGGCCTCCTGCCTGAAAATCCTAGAGTGCTCTAAAACGGTCCCCAACCCCCAGGCCATGGAACAGTAGTGGTCCGTGGCCTGTTAGGAACCAGGCCGCACAGCAGGCGAGGGGTGAGCAACCCTTCGCACCCGAGCTCTGCCTCTTGTCAGGTCAGCGGCGCGTATTAGATTCTCATAGAAGCGCGGACCCTGTGGTGAACTTCGCATGCAAGGGATCTAGATTGTGTGCTCCTGATGATCTAATGTCTGATCTAAGGTGAAACAGTTTCATCCTAAAACCATCCCCTCCAATTTTTCATGGAAAAATTGTGTTCTATGAAACCAGTCCCTGTTGCCAAAAAGATTGGGGACTGCGGCTCTAAACCTTTATTACACCGTCTTTCTGTAGGGTCAGTTCAGCTGCCGGGAGGTTGCAGGGATGTTGAGTGGGGAGGGTGGCCCTGGACTTGTGACTGGTGCAGGGGCCGAGGGCAGGGCCTGCTCAAGTCACTGTCGGTGCTTCTTCCCTGCAGGCCTCACAGACCCCACCAGCTACTACCTCTCCAGCGTCTGGAGCTTCATTTCCTTCAAGTGGGCCTTCCTGCTCAGCCTCTACGCCCACCGCTACCGGGCTGACTTTGCTGACATCAGCATCCTCAGTGATTTCTGACCCAGGGGGTGAGGTCTCTGCACCCTGAGGGGCTTAGGACCTGGACTCAGCCTCTGAGACGTTGGGAGGGGCTACTCCCACCCTCTGGGGGCCCCAGAACTGTGGCAGAGAATACACAGCAGGACCAGCGTGGTCTCCTAGGAAGCTGTCCCACCCATCCCCTTTGGGGGAGACCTGGGTGTGGTAGAGAGGGGATCCTGCCATGTTGCTCCTCATCGGCCTGGACAGAGGGCAGCTTTAGACCTTTTCAAATGGATCTGTTTTCTTTTTTCTTTTTTTTTTTTTTTTTTGAGATGGAGTCTCACTCTGTCAACAGGCTGGAGCGCAGCAGCGCAATCTCAGCATCTCGGCTCACTGCAACCTCCACCTTCTGGGTTCAAGCAGTTCTCTCAGCCTCCCGAGTAGCTGGGATTACAGGCGCCCACCACTATGCCCGGCTACTTTTTGTATTTTTAGTAGAGATGGGGTTTTACCATGTTGGCCAGGCTGGTCTTAAACTCCTGACTTCAGGTGATCCACCTGCCTCAGCCCCCCTAAAGTGCTGGGAGTATAGGCATGAGCCACCGTGCCCAGCCTGGATCTATTTTCTTAGCATGCAGTGAAGAATCTTTGTATGTAAGGCCAGGACAACAAAGTCAAGAGGTCAAGGGGTAGAGCCATGAGGCCTGGACCTATGCTGCAGGCAGGGGCTTTTGTCCCTGCTGCCCTAGGCACTCTCTCCCCAAGGCCAGGGTGGGGACCTGGGGAGGTCAGGTCAGGAATCCCTAGCAGAGACCGCTGAAGCCCCCATCCCATCACTGCTGCGAGCTGGTCTCCCATGAGTGTGCTAGAGCCAGATAGCCATGGCCCCCCACCCATCTCTCACTCACATACACAGGCATCCACACACCCCAGAGAATGACTTCTCAAATCAGGCCAGACTCAGGGTCACAGGGAATGTGCTCCTACCCCTGGAAGTGCTTTGGGGAAGGGGGCAACATGGTAGAGGCTGGAAGGAGCCCCCAAACCTGTGCCCATGCCCCTCCAGCCCTGCGTTTCCACTCTGCCTTCTCAGAGTACCCTCACTGCACGCAGACCATTGGCCAGGAGAGACCTCTCCCACTCCAGCCCCTCCACTGCCCTTCAACTAGAGCTTTCACCTTTTTACATCTCTCTTCTGAAGGACACACATCTGCTTTTCTGCCCATACACTGGCCCAAGGGCTGACCTCACTCAGGAGGGAAGGGGCAGTTGTCACAAGGATGATTTGATGTTAGGCTGCCATTTTACATGGTCTCCCCCTTCCCACCTGATGTGTCCTGCCCCTCAGCTCTTTGCCTTATCTGTGTCACTGTCACTTTAGCAAAAATACAGCGGCCATTTGTATCAGACAGCCTCTGGTGGTTACTTGGGAGGTGGGAATCTTGCGGGGACAGGTGGACATCAGGAGGACTGGGCAGGGAAGGAGTGATAGTGGCAGTTCTCTGGCTACCTGATTAAGCCATTTCCCTAGTTAAATTGTGCCCTGGAGGGCAGGGGACAGGGTCAGTGTCTCTGGGGCCAGAGGCCCTCTCTCTCTGGGCCTTCTGGCATGGGGTAACCACCAGCTCTGCTCTCCTTCTCCAGCTCTTCTCTCTCCAGCACACCCCACCACGGCAAGAATGCCCACGGGCACAGCTACAACCACCCTTGCAGGATTTGGTGTCCACACTTGAGAGTCCAGGCCAGATGGGAAAGGGATTAGCATCTCTTCCCTCACGCCCTGCCTGGCTGCCGGGAGCTTGGGCCAGGTCTATCTAAGGTAATGAGGTGCTCCTCTTCCTGCTGGAAAAACCAGGCCGCCTCAGAACCACAAAGTCAGGTGCTGCCAGCCTGGCGCCTTCCTTTATGCTTAGGCTGGGCGAGCTTGTCCAGGCCTGTGCCTCGCCCCTTCTCTCTTCTAGGTTCAGTGTATGCTTAATCAGGCATGGTGCATCAGAGCAGGAAGGAACCGTCAACAGTGTATACTTCTGGAGGCTTCTACTGATAAATAGAAGCCCCAGAAGATGATTTGACTTACCTGAGCTCCCAGCTGGGACTTAAACCCAAATGTGTCTGAGTCACAGCTCTTTGGGGATGCTGTGGTGAGCTGGGGCTGAGCTCCTGTATTCCCCCCCCCCCACCCCACCCCCAGTCCCGCCACATCAGGCTGGGCTCTGTGGACTCAGCCCAGGGCTGCCTCCTCCTTGCCACCCCAAAGTGGAACAGCCAAGGTGTGTTCAGAATGGGTTCTTCCTACAGGGCAGGAAGGGCAAAGAATTAGAGGGGGTGCAGCCCAGACCACCCTGGGCCCTCCTCCGGCACTGAGGCACTGACTCAGACCCACACTGTGCTGTGCCCTGCACACCCACCCGACCGCGTGCTGCTCACTTCTGGGGGGGGCCCTTTCACAGGCACTTTTAAAGCAAATAAAACATTTATTGTTCAGATTTTTTTCCATTTTTTTCCTTTTTACAAAAACATGCATACATACACAGGGTATGGTGGGTCCTAGGAAAGACACTCACACACACGCCTCACTCGCACACGTTCACACACCCTCCTCACTCACGCACACGCTCACACACATTTTCCTTCTTGGTCCCAGGCCTGGACCCCCAAAAGCCTTGAAGACTTTGCCAGAGCAGGCTCCCCTCCTCCATGTCTGTAATCTTCTCTCCCACTGCTTCCCCCTCAGCCAGGCTAGTCCTGTATGGGGCAGGAGTCAGAGTGGTGCGGGGGATGCCCCAGAAACAGAGAAGGCTCCTGGAGGGGGAGTGGCTGAGGGGTCCTGGGGGTAAGCTGTGCTTCTGGGGGAGATGAAGGGTTTGGCACCATTGGATCAGGAAGCGCAAGACTCCCAGAGCACCCGTCCGCTACACCAGGGCATCAACAGGAGGTCCACGTAGGAGGCCTCTGGCAGGGGCAGGACAGATGGAGGGCTGCCGGTCTCGGCTATCAGGGAGCTTCACCTCAGTGCCCGGTGGCCAGGGGAAGCTTCCAGAGTCATCTGAGGAAGCAGGTGAGAGGGACTCCCACTGCACTCAGGTATATGGGACCTCTTGGCTCCCCACTCCCCTCCCAGCCCCTAGAGCCTAGGAAGGGCCACCCGGTCTGAGGCCAAGTTCACATTTCTGTGTGGAGCCTGGGGCTGTGTGCAAAGTCTGGGGTCTGCAGAGCCAGGAATAGTGGTTAAGGGTGAGTCCGACGGAGCCGGAGCCAGTTCTCCTCTGTGCAGTCCTGAGGAATGGGGGCCACAGCCAGGGCCCAGACCCCGGAGGGTAGAATCTGTTCTTGAGAGCACTTCGGGGGCTCACCGCCCAGCCTGCCTCCTCTCAGGGTCCTCTCCAGTCCCCATTCTAGACGCAGGGATTTTGCAGGCTCCCTGGATGACTGTCAAAGCAGGCAGGTTATTCTCTGGTCCCAACTACCTGCCCACAGGATCTCCAAAGACCCAGGAACTGCCACAGGTTAGAAGAGAACAAGGTCCCAAGGGCATGATGGGCAGGCAGATGGTTCCAGAGCCTTAGAGATTCATAGGTTCTTCCTCCTCCACCAGCTGCTCCGAGGGCCTGCGGGGAAGGACAAGGGTGGGATGCTGGAGCGCCAGGGCTGCAGGAAGGGCCTTAGCCCAGCTTCCTCAGCCCTGGTCAGGAAGCCTGGGAGGGTTGGGATGGCTGTATAGGGGATCTGGGGTCTTCAAGCAGGGAGGAATGACTCGGAGAGGCCGTGGGCCCGGGGCCAGGGTCTGGCATTACCTGTCTTCAGCCAGGATGCCCACAGAGAGGGATGCCAGTGCGGTCACTGCCTCTACTTCTTCTTTGTCAGCTCCTGGCACCCTAGGCACCCAGGAGTCTGGACAGGAAGCCAGGCGCTGCATGCATCCCCAGTATTTACCTGAGGTCAGACACCGGGTCAGAAAGGGTTGGAGAAAGCAGGCCCCTCCACACTGCATCCTAGACCAGATACTGAGGTTGGTGTCTCAGGCCCAGGGCCCTAGAGTAGCGGGCCTGTCCTCCACTTGGGGTTGGCTCTCCCACCTGCCCCTCTCCTCACTTTGCCTGACAGGGTGAGGAGAGTGAGTTCAGCATGGCTGTGACGGTGCTGAGGTGCCCAGCCTTTCTCTCATCCCCTGTGGCTGCAAGGCCACCTCTGACTCATTCCCACTTCTGACTCTCAGGTGTGGGGCTCCTGAGAGCTCCAGGAGTGCCTGCTTGCCTGCAGACAGGGTCTGTGTGACAGTGACCTCCTGGAACCCCATGCCCAGGCCTCCCACTCATGCAGCCCCCACCAGTGCCCAGCCCAGCACTCAGGAAAGGAGGTAGGAAGAACACCACGTGAGAGAGCTGACTGTCACCATGGCCGCTCTGCATGCATGCCCAGGCCAGAAGAATGCTGCTTTTGCCTGCTGCTGTGAGGAACCATGTCCTGGAACCTGGCTGAGTGTGAGGGCACCCCCCATAAGAGGAATCTGTGGTGCTTTTACCATTACGTAAAGACATAATGGCTCCCCTATCCAGCTCTAGATGTGGGAATCTATTTTATTCATTTTGTATCCCCAGTATAGATTATGGGTCTTTACATAAGATCCTCAATAGACGTTGAATTGAAGTTGAAAATTTAAACTACTCTACAAATGTAGGGGTTATCCCAAGACCCAGCCCCCCAAGCTGGCAGAGTTCCTGAGATCCTCATGGCCAGGACTGAGGGGAGGGATGGGAACCAGGCCTTTTGGCAAACAAGGCCATGAGCGTTGCTGTTGACCTGGCTCTGGTCTAGGGCTGTAGCTAGCGATGGAGGCCAGTCCCTTCCTTGAGGGGCCACGGTCTGGTGGGCCCTTCTGGCTCCATTGGGAGGGCTCAGAGGATACCCCCTCATTGAGGGGTGCCCACCTGGGTCACTCACAGGAATCTTACTCCAGGCCAACAGCAGGTCACCTGGCTGGCATGAAAAGCCCTAGGACTCTGGCCACTGGGGGGCAGGGTACCACCAAGATCCTTCAGTCTGAGCTTAGTGAATGTCCCATTGCCAGACTTACTGTGCACCCGGATCACGGCCTCCAGAGAGCGGATGGCATTGAGGTTGGGTTTCTGTTTCCAGCCTTCTTCTGAAACGGGATCCACCTACAGAAAACAGTACATCAGCCACGAGTCTCTCAGGGACCCACAGGCCCAGCTCATTCCCACCCCAGGGGCTCTGGCTTTCTGGGCACAAGCACGCTTGACCTAGGTCGGGAGATGCTCCCTGGACCCAACTTGGAACGGAAGCTTCTGCTTCACCTACCTTGTTTCAGGCCTGTCCACTCTGACCCTGTTCCATCCCCTGTCCCATCCCATCTGCCTGCTCTTTGGGTAGTCCTGGGAGAGCTGGGCTTACCTGCCTGACAGAAGCATGGAGTGGGGAGGGAGCCAGCTCACCTTGTTGCCCAGAAGAGCAGCCACACAGGCCTCAGAGGCATCACAGATGGCTGTGAGGTCATGGCCACCCTCCAAGGCCAGCACCACTGCACCTCCTGCCAGGCTCATCAGCTGCTGTGTCATGTACCCAAAACCTAGAGGTTGGGTGGGGGGAAACAGGAGGGGCGGGAGTGGAGAGGTGGCCCCATTCTCTACCCCTGTGGCTTCCCTGCTTGCTTCCTCCCTAATAATGACTCACGTGTATCAATCACTATTTCCAAAGTGCTTTCACATTGAATCTCATGCAAAACCTACTAGCATGCTTCACTCAAGGCTCAGGGAGGTTAAGGGCCTTGGGAAAGGTCCCACAGCTAGTAAGTGGCAGCAAGGCAGGACTTCAGCTTGAGCCATTGACTCTAGCCTCTGTCTTTTTCACTGAGCCACACCCTCTCCTCTTTCTGTCCTCTGGGTCCTGTGGCCCAGTGGGCTGAGTGGGCGCCTTCTATTCTGAGAGTGCTGCTCCTCCCTCCCCTTCCTCTGGAGGAGCTGCCAGCCCACCTAGAATCAACTCAGCTGGGGTGGGGAGTCCCATGGCTGAGCTTCCTGCCTATTGGACTTAAGTCTCCATAGGTAGGACCTGGTCAAGCCTTCCTTGGTGAACCGGCCTGGTCCTGAGAAAGGGCCTGGGCTGTGCTTGGCTGGGAGATCCCAGGGAATTTCAGGACCAGCTGCCATAATTCAGTCCTCAGGCTGAAAGTCCTGGGCTGGCCACTGCCACCTTCCCCTTTCGACTTGGGAATGCCTCCCCCCACCCCCCGACTGCCTGGCTCTCGGTTCCTATACCTCCCCCTCAGCTGAGCCTCCCTTACATTTGGCAGAAACATGGTAGCCACCCAGCGGGGCTGGGTGGCCCTCAGCAGCATCAAACCCAGCAGACACCAGGACCAGGTCTGGAGAGAACTCTCGGGCGATGGGCATCACAACTATCCTGTGAGGTCACAAGAAGTGGCAGTCATCGTACTGTGCAGGGTTGCCAGGGCCGGTCCTGCCAACTTTGCTGTGGGGGCATCCTGTTCTTAGGACTCCAAGGCTCCTAATGCCCAGCACAACTGGCAGACTTCTCTGACCTCCCTGACCTTGGCACACACAGCCTGAGGATTCAGCCCCCTAAGGGTCTTAACTGGCAAGAGGCAGAAAGGAGCCAAGGATGGGCACCAGAGGGAATGGAAGAGGAGTGTGTGTGTGCACGCAAGCATCTGTGGGGTGCAGTGGGCAGAGCCACAGGGAAAGAGTAATCTCAGCCTGTGGAGATGGGCCCTGGTCACTAAGCTTCGTGGACGGGAAATGCTCAGCCCTTTGGACTGAGTTGACCACACCCAGGTACTTGCTGCCTGAGAGCTGAGTGGAGGCGAGGCAACTAGGTCCTCTGAGGTCCTGGGCCGCCTGGCTACATTCTCTCATCCTGTCCCTCTTCCAGGTCCCCACAGCTGCCTCCACCTATCCCTAACCCAACTCTGGGGCCTGCCTGGATGCTCTTGAAAGCCCTGAGCTCTGAGAAGACTCCAGGAACTCCGACCCAGCGCTCTGGCAGAATTAGCTGTCATAGAGACAACTCCAGAAAAGCGTTTCAAGATCCATTTCCAGAGTTCTCTTTCCCCAAATGGAGTGCAGAGACCCCAGTATGCAATATATGAAGGCTCCTGAACAGATCCTGAAGCCCCTCTTCCAGAATAGTTTTTCTTGAGTTACTCTCCCAATATGGACATTATACACTTTCTCTCCTTCTCCACAATTTAAGTTTCTGCTCTCCTGCTCAAAGCCCATCTCCTGTAGGCAGCCTTCTCTGACTAAATGTGCCAGCTCTGCTCACTCCACTGCCCATCTGCCAGCAATCAGTTTGACACTGGCTCTTGGTAATGTATGCCTTTGCAAAGCGCCCTTTGACTTTTGCGTTCTTCTCTGTGTGTCCTATTCCCACTGGTGTTCACCTACCATGTCTGGGAACTGGTAGGGACACGCTGACAATCCAACTGGCCACCTCCACCCCGGTGATCTTGGGATAAGGGACAGGAGAGGGTGGCCTTGCCCTTCTGGGCCCCCAGAGCACGTACCTGAAAGCAGCCAGGTACTCAGGATCCCCCATGGGGGGGTCCAGGCCTCCAGCCCAGGCCACATTGACATTGAAGCCCTCACCGCTGCCAGCCCCTACCTGGAAAACAGAAGGCAAGAGAGACATGAGGACAGTGGAGTCCCAGAAGGGGAATGCCAGCATGTCAGAGCTGCCAGCCCAGCTCATCCAGCCTCCTCATTTCCAGGTGGGGAAGCTGAGGATCAGAGAGCCTCGGCAATCTGCCCAGGATCACATAGCTCATCGTGACAGAGGCAGAGTAAGTGCCAGGAGGAGAGTCGATGAGGCTGGAAGATGTGGCCCTGATATGCAGTTACCTCATCCACAGCCCCGCTCCCCGGGAAGAAGTTGCCATTGTCATGGCGATGCAGGGAGATGTAGAGCACACTGGGGTCTTGGTAGAAGGTCTGCTGGGTGCCGTTGCCGTGGTGCACGTCCTGTGTAGGGAGATGGGCGGTGATTACGGAAGGTCTGAAGGTAGAGAGAGGGAGGCCAGGACAAATTAGAAGGGTTTCAAGGTCAGTGGCCATTCTGAGGTCAGGACCCTAGACTGGGGATCAGGAACCTGGGGTTCCTAGAGCCACATGGTTGAGTGGTCCCACATAATCCACTGCCTGGCTCTGGAACTCGGTCTCTCTGTGACGGACGAGGCTGGCTGTAATATGAGATCCTGAAGGAGAAGAAGTGTCCCAATCTGAGGCCAGCCCACCTGAGAGAGTAACTGTGTGGACATGGGGTTAGTGGCATGGAGAGGGGAGGGTCCAGGGTTACACACATCAGGAACCACTCTGTCTTGCATAAAGTCATGAAGTGATGAGGTGATCAGAAACCAAGCTCGGTTACAGAGGGGCTGGTACATGAGCTCTCCTAGGGAGAACTGGGCCCTACACTCAACTCACAGGACCATGTGGGGACTCAAGTGTGCAAAGGTCCTCCACCATTCTCAACTTCTGCTTAGAAACATCTCTTTTACAGCTGTCAGTGCAGAGGGGAAATAGTCTAGCAGTTAAACGCAAGCACTCCAGAGCTAACCAGCCTGGGTTCCAATCCATCTTACGACTTACGAACAACTGTGTGTGAGTTACTTAATCTCTCTGTGCTCACTTTCACCTGTAAAGTGGGTTATAGTCAGGATTAAATCCATCATGTGTAAAACCATCAGTGTCTGGATGTGATTAGTGGTGTACTGATGTTATCTGTTCTTATTCTTATCATCACTACCTGTACAGGAAATGCAGAAATTACTAGATCTGCCAAAAGAAGCCAACAGAATTCAAAAGACAACACTCAAATGAGAGCTCCTACCCATTGTGGGGGTTTGTGATGGCTGAATGCATTCCCACACACCATCCCTTGTGGACCTCCCAACTGTGATGAGGGTATTGTCTTCACCCAAACTTTACATAAGGGAAAACTGAGGCTCAGGGAGGCTAATGCAGAACTAAGACATGAAGCCACATCTCTAACATCAGGCTCAGAGCTTTTTCCCCGGGGCTCTCAGATCAGATCGGAGGGTGCCAGGAACAGGCACCTACCCAGTCTACAATGAGGATCTTGCTGGCCTTGTTCTGCTGTTGCAGCTGCCGGCAGGCGATGGCCACTGAGTTGAAGAAGCAGAAGCCCCTGGGAGGAGAGACAGGTCCTGCCAGCCCATTCTCTCCACATTCCCTCACCTCCCAGGCCCCTGGGTTGACCCACCCTGAGAAAGCTCGGGGAAGAGAGAGAATGTCCCTAAAGGAAGGCCCTGTGGGCGTGCCCCCCACCTCATCCCGTCCAGGTCTTCCCCTAGCCTTACATGGCTGTTGAATGATCTGCATGGTGTCCTGGGGGCCGCACCACGGCAAAACCATTCTGGAAAAAGAAAGTATGTGTGCCAACCAACAGACAGCCCTGACCCACAGCTGCATGAACGTGCCCCAAGAGTTCAAATCTCAACCTGGTCCCCAGAGCCCTCAATTTCCCCTCCAAATGCCTGTGGCAATCTCTAAGAGGAACACGATGCCTTGGGTCCTGGGCCTGGATTCCCCACTACCCCACCCTGCTGCCTCCTTTGTGGTGTGTCCACCTTCATCCCAAACCTCCTACCTTCAGCTCATGGGAAGCCACTTTGAAGGCGAGGTCGGTGACACTGCCAGCAGCCCAGCGGGCTGCATTGGAGGAATGCAGCTCATTCCAGATGGTGTCAGTGTCCACCTGCGGGAGCCAGAGTCAGGGCCCGTATCATCCAAGGCTTCACACAGGAGCCAGGGCCCAAGGGGGTCCCCACCCCACGGCCAGGACCCCAGGGGCAGGGAGCTGGACAGACAGCGCTGCCTCCCCAGTGCCCCACCGCCCAAAGGCAAGGCCTCCTGTGTCCCCCAATCCCAGCATGACTTCTTCCCAGCTTAAGTCCCAGCACCAGCCCATTATCTGGCCAGCACTCTGCTGGCAGCATCACGCCTGCCTCCCCGGTCAGGGGAGGGGGCATGGCGTTACCTGGGCGGGACTTGGGGTTTGGGCCGGGAGGGGGTTTTAAGCCCCAGCTGACTCTGCTCAGGCCCTGCGGGACGGTCGGAGCTGGAGGGGCCGTCTGCACCACTGTCTTCCACTCAGGGCCCCTAGCCCAGGCTGGGAGGCCCCCCAAACCCAGTCCCTGGGCCTCAAGGCTAGGGAGGGGCCGGGGGGCATGATGGGGAGATGGGGAGGGCGAGGCAGACCAAGAGAGGCGAGGAAGGCAGAGAGAGTCGCAAGAGGCTGGAGAAAGAGAGAGAGAGAGAAAGACAGAGAGGGAGAGGAGGGAGGAGAAAACAGAAGCAACAACAGTTGGAAAAACCAGAAAGTGGCAAGAAATGGGAAGTCGTGAATAGGGAACTGACTGCTCCCAAACGTCACCCACCAGCTACAGCTCCCACTCTCCCTCCGGAATCAGGCCTCCATCCCCTGCCTCTATACACCTTGCTTGAGAAACTACTGCAGGGACAGTGTCAGGCGAGGGGAGCTGAGCCAGGCGGGCGGGACGCCCCTTCACGAAGGGGGGAGGACTGAGGAAGCAAAGCTCGGGAGTCTGGGGCAATGTCCCAGAGTAGGGAAGTGCCGGATGGCCGAGGACGCTGGAAGCGCCACCGTGACCTCACGCCAGGCAGCCCAAAATCTGCGGACCAGGCTGCGGTTCCCTAACTTGACCCTTCACAGCAGACAGAGCCGCCTGGGGGCCAACACCCAACCATGGGGGGCTCTGAAGGGAGAGATGAACCTATCCCCCAGCCTTGGCCCTGCTCCTGGAGCCTCGCTCAACAGCTACCAAACACCTTCTAGGGGCAAGGCTTAGGCTAGGCTCCGCATTTGGGGGACACTGTGAGCTGAGACACGCCTGTCCAAAAGGAGGTTCCCACTGCAGAGAGCACCTCAGGAAGACCCTGGCCCACGCTGTCTGGCAGAACCACAACAAGCAGGGGTTCTGTAGGGGCTGGGCCTGGGAGAACCACGGGGAGGAGAGCTGAGAGCCCTGGCAACGCCCCTGAGACCCCTGGGCACACTTACCCCAACCCCACCACAGGGCAGCATCACAAACATCCGCTGTGCCAGGAGCCCTGCGGGGAGAGCCCAGCCCACATCAATGTGAACGCTCTCAGCCTTTGGCCCAACCGGGAGCAGGGAGCCTGGATAGCAGGGCCAGGTGGGTATTGCGGGAGGGATTATGGAAGGGAGTGGGGACGTCCAGGGCTGGGGAGGAGGCAAGCTGGGCAGAGCCAAGACAGGAGCCCATGGGAGCTGGGTGAGGTGAGCGGGCACAGGAGACCCAGGGCTCAGGGCCACTAGGCCCTTACCTGCCAGCTTCCCGTTGTCCAGTTTCAGGCGGCTGAGCGGGTTGGTGCCATAGAGGAGCACGTGCCGCTCAGAGTGGACCGACTGCAGCTCTTCCAGGGAGGCCTTCCGGCCTCGGAGACACTGAGAAGGGGCCCACAGAGCTCTGTGCCCATATTCACCCCTTCCCTCCTATCACCACCACCCCATCTGCCCCTCATCTCACATGGACCCCAGGACCCCCAACCCCAGCCCTCCCACAACTCCTCCCTGTACCCATTCCTGGGCCCCCACCCGCACCTCCTCACCTCACACTGGCTCCGGAGCCCGCGCTCCTGCAGCCGGGACCAGATGCTCTGGATGCGGCCGGCGTGCTCTGGGTGCCTGCTGTTGTCTCCACAGGAGCACTGGTGCTTCAGCATGACCGAGTCATAGACCAGCCCTGCGGGAGCAAGGGTCAGAGTGGGGACCTGGGGAGTCCCACGACCTTGGCTGCAGAGACAGCACCACCACAGCAGGCACCCACACAGAGCCAGGCGGGCACACACCCCTCACACCCACACAGGCGTGCATTTCATCCTGCCCCCAGCCCCAGTGCCAGCCCCAGCACCTCAAACCTGTCCACACGCGCCCAGACACTTCCCCAGGTGGCGGCAGCCAACACACCAACACAGCTCCAGCCAACACGGCTGCTGGAGCCACGGCCTTCCCACGTGCGAACGCAACTGCTCCATGGCCCAGCACCAAGCCCTCAAGTGCGCAGAGCTAAACATAAGGCCTAACGTACAGCGTCTCACACGGGTGTCATGAACCCAAAGAGGCTACCAAGGGGCAGCAGGAGGGGAAAGAATTCCTAGGAAACCCCCAAACCAGGAACTAAGAAGCCCATAATGACACTGGACCATGGGATAGACAAATCCAGCTTTGGAGAAGTGACTATTTCAGTCTGCCATGGGAAGTTTTCAGAGGAGGGCCCTGTGCATAGTGGGTGGGAGGGTCAATTTCTGTGCATCTACGATACCAAGCACCTTCAAACTGCTCACCGCATGTGACCCAGGAACCCTACTCTTTTTTAGTGAACCTTGGGAAATAATCCCAAGCATGAGGGAATATTGATGCATAAGGAAAATAATAAGCTATAATCTAAATGTCTAATGATAAGGAATCCCTCAGTAAAAATGAAATGCAATAATGAAATACTATGAGACGCTCAGTTTTAAAGATTAATTATGCCAAGAAGGGTTCATACTATGTTAACTACATAAAGCAGATATAAAATGTAGTTCATGTGTTTATGGCATCTGTACATATACCTATGGCCAGAACAAAGACTGAACTGAAATACAGAATTTCAGAGGGGTTACTTCTGGGTTGTGGGGCACTGGTTGGTGATTTTTCTATTCTTCTTATGTTTTTCTGTACTCTTCAAAATGTCTAAAATATTTCTGAGCTCTTTTTACAAGCAGAGCAACAGTAATAAACATCATTTTTTAAAAGGGCTGAGTGCATCGGCAGAAGCCTGGAATTCTTATCCTGGCTTGGCTACCGCTTGCTATTTCACCACAAGCTTGTCACCTTAGATTTCCTGAGCCTTGGTCCTCATCAGCCAAACGTAATAACCAGCTGTTCCAGGGCTCCATGGGCACTATGTGGGCCTGACAAGGCTAAGCGCTCTGTGGCCTCTAAAAACATGCTGAGTGACACCACCATACCCAGATGGACTCATGCCACCAGGCCCCTCCCTCCACCCACCAATCTCCTCCCGGTCTCACCTGTGGTGAAAGGCAGGGTCCTGGCAGGGGTCTCTGAGCTGGAGAGGACTCGGGCCTGGCTGGCGGGCTCCGAGGTTGACAGTGAGGCAGGTGCGGCTGGGGAAGACTGAGCCCGGGACAGGGGCCGGTGCCCGCTCTGGGCCAGGGGAAGCAGCACAGTGTCCCCGGTGCTGCCCCGGGGGAGCCGCCCAGCCAGTCGCTGCTGTTCCCAGAGCAACACCTGGGGGGAAGACAGGGCCTTGGTCTCCAGTGTCTCAGGGTCCTGATCTCTCTACATCTGCCAAAGGTTTTGGGGACCCCCAAATTGGCCCCTTTCCTAGAGAGATTCCAGAATAAACCTAGACCTGCCGGCCAGTGGGGCTCTGGCCTTTGACTATCCCTGTCCCCAGCAGCCCCCTCAAAGGCTTGCACCCCAGACTGACCACCCATTCCATCAGAGCTCCCCAGACCCTTGGGACTCCAAAGCCAGAAACCAGGGGAGGGGTGTTGGATCTTGCTCTGACCAGGATGTCCCCATCTCCTGGACTGTGTAACCATCCAAGAACATGTATGTGGCCTGTCACCATGTGTTACAGAGTGAATTATGTCCCCCACCATCAAATTTATATGTTAAGTCCCAACCCCCAGTACCTCTGAACATGACCTTATTCAGAGATAAGGTCTTTACAAACAGAAGTAATCAAATTAAAATGAGGTCGTTAGGGTGGGCCTTAACCCAGCATGACTGTGGTCCTTATAGGAAGAGGAAATCTGAACAGACACACACACAGAGGGAAACCATGTGAAGCCACAGGAAGAAGATGCCCATCCACAAGCCAAGGAGAGAGACCTGGAACAGCCCCTGCCCTCACACTCCCAGAAGGAACCGACTCCACCAACACCTTGATTTCAACTTCCAGACTCCAGACCTGTGAGCCGGTGAATGTCTGTTGCCTAAGGCACCCAGCCTATAACACGTATCCCAACAGCTCTCAAAAGCTAATGCACTGGGTCTTGACTCCCACAGTGAGTGCATTCTGCTGGACATGCTGGAGCCTGGCTCATCCCACCTCCTGCCCTAGCCACCTTTCTGGATAGAGGGGAGACATGCCAGGACAGGACCGTGTGTGGTTGCAGGAAAGGCCAGACTCCCTGCTGGAAAAGGGACATGGCCACACCTGAGACTGGCAAGCTGTTGTGTGTATGAGCATGTCTGGGTGTGTGAGTGTGCATGTGTGGTGTGCCTACACCTTGGTGTGGATCCAGCACCCAGGATCTTATAGGCAACCGTGGGTCCTAGAGCTGCCACCTGCCCTGATGTCATATCTCCCTCCCTACCCCATCTTATGCCAGGCCCCAGAGTCTTCTGAGGACATTTTCTGAGGGGCGGGTGGGCACTGCCATACCTGGGGGTGCTGCTGAAGAGGTGCGGGGCCTCTGGCCTCGGGCTGTCCGTGGCTCAACTCCCTGCGCTCCAGGCCATCATCCACCACCTGGCCTGGTCCCCCACCATCTGTCTCCAGGTCTTCAGCCGAGGGTATCTGCCGCAGCCGGGGCTTCTCACTCGGCTTGGCTGACCTCTGGGGAGGGGAGACACCTGGCTGAGAAGCCACGGTAAAGCGAGGGGCATGGGGTGGGAGGCAGTGGGCTGGACCAGGCAGCCAGTCATCTTGCTGGGACTCCAGCTGCCATGCAGCTCTGGGCCCCCAGAAGCCACATCCCCCCCACTCTTTTGCCCTCTAGATCCCTGCCCTTTCTAAGTACCCCTCTTCTTTTGGCCCCCAAGGCCCCAGTTAAGTACCCCTTCAATACCTCCACTACCCAATTCCTCTCACCTTGATCACCTGGATGTGAGTTTTGAGCTGCTCCAGGTGGGGCTGCATGGGGCCCGGCGGTGGGGGAGCAGTGGCACTGGGGGGCAGGGGCTCTGAGCGAGTCCGGCTCAGTGGCCAGTGGAGGCCTGACCCAGAGAGCCGCTCGGTGGTCATTAAGGACTGGGCAAAGTGGAAGGGCAGGGGCCCAAGCCCGGGCACTGCAAAAAATCAGGGGGTGGAATAAGGAGGGAACCACAGGGAGCAATGCAAGGAAGCAAGGGTATAGGGTGGGGGTCCAGGGGGCTGCAGGGTGATGCGCAGGATGGGGGACAGAGGTGGGGAGGAAGGATGGGCCCATCCCAAGCTTGGCACTTAGCAGGGTGCAGGGACCCAGGCCCTTCCCTGGAGAAGCAGCAGACTCACCAGTCAGCAGCGGGGCGTGAGAGCCTGAGGGGTCCAGAAGGAGAATAGGCTGCAGGCGAGAGTGCAAGGTGCCCCCAGCCTCGGGCTCCAGGCCATGGGGCAGGAAGAGGGGAGTGTGAGGGCTCCCCAGGATCGGCCCCCGAGGGCCCAGAGTTGGATGGGTCCTGCGGTCACTATCAGCCTAGGGGAGAGGCGGGAGAAGTCACGGGGAAGAAGATTCCAGCAGAGAACAAAAGGTGATGGGATGAGGCAGCAGGAAAAGGGAGTGAAAGAAGCTGGGGGGGCTTGGAGTGGGGGTGGGCACCCCAGCCACTCACCCTGGCAGGGGCGGGCAGCCCCAGCGTGATAGCGGGCAGCAAGGACACTGTCGGCAAGGCGAATGGGGCCAGAGAAGTCTCCTGCAGCCGCAGCCGCTGGCCCAAGAGCGCCTGCCATGGGAGCAGGGCGAGGGTCACCGGTCCCAGACCTCTACCCTGGTGCGCCTTCCCCAGAACACCCAGGAGGCTCTGGCAGGGGCTGCCCAGACCCTCTAGCCCCAGCCAGGGCAGGGCCACTAGCTAGAAGAAGACTGGGCCTCAGAACTGCCCCAGGAGAGCCCAGTCTCGGCAAGGCCTTACCTCCGAGCCCAGGATGGGGTTGGGGCCGTGCTCGCTGTCATTGGGGGAGCTGCACCCTGACGCGGGCGTGCTGCTACTACTTGGGGAAGAGTCTGAGGGTTGGGGAGAGAGGGAAGTGCAGTCAGAGGCCAGGGTGGGCAGGAGGGTACAGCCAGGCCGCCTGGTGCAGGAGACCCTGGGGCAGCCCCTTCCTTAACGGGCACCTCTGCTTCCTGCTTTTTTTCCTTTTGAGACGGAGTCTCGCTCTGTCACCCAGGCTGGAGTGCAATGCTGCCATCTTGGCTCACTGCAACCTCCGCCTCACAAGTTCAAGCGATTCTCCTGCCTCAGCCTCCAAAGTAGCTGGGACTGCAGGCATGTACCAACATGCCCGGCTAATTTTTGTATTTTTAGTAGAGACATGTTGGCCAGGTTGGTCTCAAACTCCTGACCTAGGTGATCTGCCCACCTTGGCCTCCCAAAGTGCTGGGATTACAAGCATGAGCTACCGTGCGTGGCCTCCTGCTTTCTTACCATAAGAGCAGGAAGAAGGCAGGCCACCTTTGGCCTACAGCACCTTTGCACAATTTTTTTTAAAGGTTGTCTCCTTTTCTGGGAGATGTCAGCTAATAGAGCAGGGGCTGGGTTTCAGCCCCAATTCCCTGCCTTCGGCAAGTATGTGAGACACCCCCATACAACCACACATGGCAGTCTTAGGGAGGGGAGACCCCTGTCTGGGTGGGCCTGACCCAAAGGGACAAGACCAGCCAGGTTTGAGGATGGCAACTACACCCGCTTGGCTGGCCCTCACCTCCGAGGGTCTCTGCAGGTCGTCGCCGGAGGCTGGGGGGCGCACTCTCCTTTCGAAGCAGTGGATTCTTCCTCCGCTCCAGGGACTTCTTGGGCTTATAGCGCAGCTTCAGGTTGGGCTCAGAGACTGTGGGGAGCACCAGCGTCACTCAGGCCCCCACCAACCTCTTTTTCCCACCCTTTAGTCCCTCAGTCCCAGTCATCTCTATGGGTCCAGGAAAGAGAAGGGAGAGCCAGAGAGAAGATCCTAGCCTACCGACGATCCCCTGGCCCAGCCCAGCCTGCCCACCCCTGCACACTCCTGCCCATGTCCAGGGCCCTTCCCTGTTCCTTTGTCTGGAAGGTCCCGCCTGTCTGTCCAGCTCACCTGTCTTGCGCAGGGGGAAGTGCTCTGGGGGGTCACTGGGCAGGCTGGGAACAGGAGGCAAAAAGCTGCTGAGCATGGAGCGGGCAGCTCCTTCCGTCTCCAGGGGCTCCAGGGTTCTGCAGAATGAGTGCCAAGGCTGCTTCAGAGGGATGGGGACACTGCACAGGCATCACCCTGAGCATGGGCCCTGGGACCTGTGGAGGAGGCTGCAGCAGGCAGGGCTGGGCAGTGTGGGGCAGGCAGGATGAGGACCATCTCCAGGTGGCAGCAGTGGGCCACCTGTCCTCTCCAGCAGCCACCGTGCAGAGCTCTGACCTAGGCATAGAAGCCAGGTGCTTGGGTGAGGGGACCACTAGAGGCTCTGTCACCTGCACTAGGAACCTGCTCGGGGAACCAGGACATTTTTGTGCTCAGGGAAAATATAACAAGAGAAGAGGCTCATATGTGCAAGAAACAAAGCCAGTAGGGTGTGTGTGTGTGTGCGTGCGTGCGTGCGTGCGTGCGTGTGTGTGTGTGTGTGTGTGTGAAGGGCCTTGGGCAGGATTGGGAGAAAATTTAAAGAGAGAAGAGGGCAGGTATCAGTTGAGAGAGGGGCTTGGGGGCATTATGCTTAGAGGAAGGGTAAGGACTGGGAGTGGCAGCTGGAGAGGAAGGGGGCAAGTGTGTGTGCTCATGGCTAACACGTGGGGGGCATGTGGGGACAGGAGGGAGCAGGTGAGGAGGGCGTTACCTGTAGGCAATGCTGGGGCTGTTGGGATGGACTGTTCTCTCTAGGGCTGCCTGCTGTTTTTTCAGAATCACCTCTGCCAGCTTCTGCTTGACCACGCTACTGGCTACAGCACCTGTTGGGGCACAGACATGAGGGGGCTGCAGGTGGGTGGACAAACAGCCTCGTGGCACTCCCTGGCATGGCTCTGTCCCCATCCTCAGTAGGAGGCATCCCAGGGACTCCCCAGACAAGAGCCAAGCCCAAGGCCCTACCCCTCCCTGGAGCCTCCAGACACTCCCCCACCCCCACACCCCACACGCATTCACAGGCAGAGCCAGGCAAGCAGAGGGAAAGGCTCAGCTCAGGCCCAGCTGGCTGCACCCCTCCCATCTCAGCGCTCACAGGCCACACAGGCAGCCACAGGCACCCGGCTGGTGGGGCTGGGCTGGGCTTGGCTGGGGCAGCCTCATCCTTACTTCGTTTGCTCTTGTCCTTGTGCAGAAGCTGCCGCAGCTCTTGTTCCTGGGGTCCCACCTGCAACTCGGGCATCGGCGTGTCCATGGAGAGCTGTGGGCAGGACCAGAGGCCCAGGAAGGGACAAGGACTTGAGGACTGAAACTGTAGGGAACTGGAGGCAGGGAGGCTGGGGACCAAGCTCAAGGTGGCCCCACATGTGGGGAGCTCCATCTTTACCCTCATGGGCTCCACCGAGCGCTGCTGCTGCAGGCCTGCTAGGAAGAGGTGGTGGTGCAGGCGCTGGGGACGCTGCAGGGCCAGCAATGTGGGCTCTGGTGGGGGCTCCACTGGGGGCCGCTGGCCCACCCGCAGGTCCATGGGCTGGGACTGAGGGCCTGATGTGTCTGCACAGGGCCTGGGGCAGCCTGGGGACAGAGAGAGGGGCAGGTGAAGTTGGAAACTTTGTCCTCAGAGGCATGACTACAGCCTGACCACCTCCCTCGGGCTCACTTGAGAATGGCAAAACCCTCTCGTGAGGTTTTCCCTCACTTAGTCCTTGTCATAGTCCTGCAAGGCAGGTATTATCAATTCTACTTTGCTAGTGAGAGAAAAGGTCACATGAACTGTCCGATTACACTGTCTCGCTGGTGGTGTTTGAATAGAGGCTTCCGACTCCATGCACAATGCTCTTCCACTAGACATGCTCCTCCTCGGGCAGGGGGCTGAGGGCTAAGGGGACCTATGATGAGCTCAGGCCCTATGGTGGGACATCTTGGCCCTGCCTTCTCCCTCCCTTCATCTCTCCCTGGAATCAAAGGATTTGCCCAGCTGCTCTCCATTGAGTTGGGCTCAAAGGAGGTGATCGAGCAGGCAAACAGGCCCACTTTGTTCCGCCTCCAGCTCCAAGCCTCACAGGCCCTCTGGATCGCCACCCTCCCATCGCAACCCCAGTCATGGGATACAGTGATGCTTCAAGCCTACAGCCAGCCCTGACCGCCACCCTGGGCCTGCAGAACCCTGTGCCCAGGGCAGGTTCCTTAGCTCACAGGCCCTGTGTGCCCTTGGGCCTGCTCCTGGGTGCCTCTGTGGCAGCTCTGGGCCTGGCATGGTCAGGATGGCAGGCACGGCTGCCTCTTCTCAATTGTCCTCTGCACCCACGCCAGGAGCACCCTGCCAAGGCTGTGGGTGCAGGGGCTATTTATAACTGGCCACCAGACTAGGGTCCATGCCAGCATAGCCAGCTGGGCCAGGCTGGGCTGAGCAGCCAGAGAGGCTGAGACACACAGAGATGGAGCTGTTGCAGTGGGCTCATCCTTGAGAAGGGGGAGTGGGTGGGGGTGGGAGCAGGCCGGCCCCATGGGAGGGCACACAAGTGGAGAAACCTTCCTGGAGAGGCCTCCTTCAGCAATTCCAATGCTGGGCATCTCCCAGTGGGACAGCCACAGACTATCCTCAGGGTTTGGGGCTGAGGACAGCTGGAAAGGCCTGTGGCAAAACACTAGTCTAGGAGTCAGAAATCTCGGCCTACAGGCCCAAGCCAGCCACTCCTAGCCACAATCTTTACATCCACAGCACTTTTGCATGAACATCTACAAAGCCCTCTCAGCTCATCAACCCATTGGCCTGGGGGGGTAGACATTACTATCTTGTTATTCTAAATAAGGAAACTGAGGCTCAGGGCGGAAGGGCCCTGTCCAAAGGAACCCAGCTAGGGGCAGAGTTAGCATGGGTTCTGGTCCTACCAAGGCAGGTACTCCAGTTTCCCACCAACTTTCAGGAATTCACCTCCCCTCGAGGGGCTCTCACTAGGCAAAGAAGACGGGTTTGCAGTAGGCTGTCACTAGTAGGCATTCACTCTAACATTCCCTGACTGTGACATGGAGGACATGAGAAAGGAGCCCAGCAAGGAGGTGCCCGCCATGCCCCCTGAATATCAAGTGCCCCAGAGGGACGGCTGATGCCTGTGCACCCAGATGCTGCCTGCAGTAGACAATGCACCACCCGGTGTTTACGCTGCCTCCCAAGAAATCTGGATTCTCATTCGGGCTGAGTCTGGGTCTCCAATACCAATACATTCCTGCCCCAGGAAAGGTCTCAGTCCTTCCATGTTCTGTGTCCTGGCTTCCTGGGGTGACTCCCCTGATGATGCAAGAGGGGCTTAGGGAAACCAAGGCCGGCCACCTAGACTCAAGACCAGTGGCTTCAGCCACACACAGACTGTAAGCAGTCCCCCCAGCAGGGGCCCCTCCCCTCACTCTCTGCATGACCACTGCCTCCACAGCAGAAGAGAGTATAGGATGGGCTCCACCTGGAGCCCTGGAAATACTTCTCAGGGTGCTTTAGCATTTGTGAGGCTCCACAGTCTGGTCCTAACTCGGTTTCTCTCAATTTGGTCTGCATCTGAACATGAACCCTCCACCTTGGCCATCACAAATCCAGGTCTCTTCTCTCTGAGCTTTTGCTCAGTGTCCCCCTGTCTGTGCTGTCCTCATCCCTACCTTCTGCTTTTCCAATTTTAGTATATGTGCTGCCGAAGCGAGCACCCTTCTGCTTTTCCAAATCCTACTCTTTGCTCAAAGCCCAGCTGGAGTCCTCCCTCATCCTTGGACCCAGCCAGTGCCTAGCATTCCTCCCTCTTTTGGACTTCAATCACGTGGCAGTTCCACGCCGGGATTAGCACCCTGTGGGCAGGTACCATGTCTGAGCCACAAACGTGGAATCAACGAATAAATCTGTGTCCCTCCTAAAATGTCCAGGAAAGTACCCTGGCACAGAGACAGGGCTCATTAATGATTCTTGAACAAATGGATAAACTCCTGAATCCATGTCCTTTCACAGGGCACTGGTCACATTATTGCATTCTACTATTTTTTTCTCCTTGTATTTGTGTGACCTTCCTCCCTAACCTGCCTGTTAGCTTTTAAACAGCCAGGACTGAAGCAACGAGGATGACTGGGCTCCATTTCTCCCTGCTATATGGAATTAGTACACGTCAGGCTATATATCTTGCACTCAGTAGACCCTCATTTGATATTGGCTGCGCTGAAGGAAGGGCAGACTGCATCTAGTGCAGACCTGGCCCCATGGGCATGTCCTAAACCAAAGCAGTGGCAGGAAGTCCAGTCCTTCCCCAGGGCAGCCCAGCAGCAGAGGAGGCCCAGGCAGGCAGTGGGAGGAGGCACGGATGCAAGAGAACCCTTCCTCTCCAGCAGAGCAGTCCTGCAGGGGCTGCCATGCCCACCTTGCAGGGCTGGTGTGAGGACCGAATGAGTCCACACACAAGAACACACCTTGCCTGGTGCCTGACGTGGGGCAGGGGTCTAAGTATAAATATTAGCTTATTACTTTCCTTCCTGTTTCACTGCACCCAGCAAGGACGAGAAGGGCATCCTGGCATCCTGTCTGTCCTTTTCCTGTTGTGTTTCCCAGCACTGCACCCAGCCGGTATGCAGAGCTGCCTCTCTCACCCCAGCTCCTCACCCTTCCCTGGAGCCCCTACCTCCTGGCTCTCTGTGGATCAGCCAGCGACCCTGCTTTTCTGACCCCTCAGCTTCTCTTCTTCTTACTGCCCTTCCACCCCTCATCTTCCACTCCCCACCATGGGCTCCCCCAGGCCTGACTCTTACCTGTGCCAGTGGGGCTGCGACAGTGGGCACCCGGGCTCACCTGGGTCCCATCTGTAGAGAGAAGAGAGACGGAGTGAAGGAGCTGCAGCAAGGGGTGAGGAGAAGGAGCAGGAAGGAGAGAGGGTCAAGCCAGGCCTGCTCCCTGCCACTCCAAGCTTGAGCATGCCAAAGCCTGGGACCTCCACCAGAAGCTAACCGAAATGAGAAAACTCCACCCCATCCAGCTCCTCCAGTCCCCCTGCTGGCGAAGAGGGCTCCCCAGCTCCCTCTTCCTCAGGCAACCTTCTGAGTGACTTGAGCTCAGGCCACAGCAAGAACCTAAGGAGGCCTCAGCTCACCCAGCAGTGCCCTCAGCCCTCCCTTCTGTGGTCAGATACGATCTTCCCTGGGCAGCCAAACCAAGCTCCTATTGCCCAAGGGAAAGAAGAGGGCCGGTGAGGCGGGGCCAGAGGTGGGAGAGCCCAGCTGGGGGGAGCAGACCTGGAGAGGGGGAGCCCGGCCTGCTCAGAGCCTCCCAGGTGGGAGTGAAAGGAGCAGGTGGGGACACAGAGGTTTCCACAGGGGGGAGGGACTGGGTCATGGCCCAGAGGTCAGGTCAGATCTGGTGGGAACTGTGAACTGTGAAGTGGTAAGGTCAGGAGTGCATGGCCCAAGGACCCTGCAGTGCAGACCCTTTTCCTCCTACTGCCCCATCCTATGTCCTGCTGCCTCTGTTTCCTCAGAGAAGGGACCGACTCAGCCTCTTTCCCAGATAATCTGAGACAGAAATCTTTTCTTTAGGAAATGGCTACCTCTCTCGAGGCTCCTAAGCCCAGCAAGCAAACCTATAGTAGGGCCCAAAGCTGGTCAGCAGCAGAAAGCCCCCAGGGGAGGTGGAGGCCGGCTGGGGTTGGAGAAGGCAGGGATGAGCCCTGAGGCCACCAGTCCACGGCAGACACCTTTCCCTCTTGCTGTCCAGCTCAGGGTCAAGGAGACAGGAGGCCAGGAGACCCAGAGGCTGCCTGGAGCGGGTACTGGGTGGACACAGAAGCCCTCTGCCAGTCAGACTTGGGGAAGAAGGGGTATTTTTGAGAAACTTTTGGGGTGATCCTTTGGCTCTGTGTCTCAGAGGCAGCCACCATTCCTCTTCAGAGCTGAGAAAGGAGAACTCCCTGCAGGCAGGCGCTGCTGGGGAGGGGCAGCCTAGGCACAGGGAGACTCCCGCTGACTGCCCTCCATGCTTTGGATGACAAAGCTTGGTCAGAAGATGCCGCTCTACCGATTAAAATTCTGCCCATCCTTTGAGGTCCAGACCAAGTCTATCTCCTTGGGAAGCTCCCCCTAATCTCCCCCCTCCTCTTTTTCCACAGCACTCACTATGGGTCTGCCACCTTGGCCCTTCATTTATCATGATCTCTGTGGTGACATGTGGAAGCCGTGCCTATCTGCACCACACCTTGCTGGCACATGGCAGTCTCTGTTAGTAACTTGCAAATCAAATACAATGACTCTCTCTTGACCGCCTGCCTGAGCCACAGCATGCATATTTCTCAAGGTGGTGGGCCCCAGAGGCAAACTCTCCTCCCCGTAACAAGATAACCGCCAATCCCAGGCTTTCTTAGTACCTCATTTTTCTACAGGACCTGGTCCCCTCAGAGGTTTCTGTACTGGACTCCAGGATGCACTCCCAGTCCCTTGCCACCTGGGAATTCTCTCCCACCTCCCCAGTCCCTGCCCAAGGGCTGGTCAGCAGCAATCATGCTTGGGAGCAGAGCCAGGTTCTCTGCACCTCGCTCTCCTGGTAACCACAGATTCTGGACACCATGCACTCTCTGGATGGGAGAAAAATTAATGGCCCTGAACTCTGTGGTGTTGGCCACCAGGCCCCAAAGGGATGTTTTGTGGTGATAACCCATAATATAAAGTCTGTTCAGAAAAGCCGTGTGCAAGACTGCGTACATGTTGGCAATGGGGGCTGCTTCCAATAGCAATTCCTAGTAAAAGTTCTGCTTTTCCCCCACTCCCTGGCCCTGTGCTAAGGGCCATCAAGCTCAGAAGAGCATAGAGCAACAGAGATAAGACCTGGGAACAGCTCTCTTTGTGTCCCAGAGAGAGGAATGGTATCTAATGGCGCCCTGTCAGTAGATGAACTGAAGCCAGAGCATGAACAGCCTGCATCCCAGTTCTGGCTTGAGTGTAGGAACCTCTTTTCTCATCACTGTCTCTCTCAGAGGGCTGTAACTACTAATTTGGGATCAGACTGAAAAAAAAAAATGAGGAGTAAATGGACCCAAGGGACCAGGAATACTGTCTAGGGCGGGACCCTTCTCCACATGGCTCTCAGCCAGGTTGGTAAGCTCTCTGTTTTGGAATCCTAGCTACTCCCCTTTTCTATCTTCTTTGGAGGCAACTGCAGCAGACTTGAGAAACAGTTTACTTGGCACTGGGGCACGTGGGCCTACCAGGTCACCTTCTGAAACCAGAATACTTGATATTACCCAGAAACCTATGAGCCCCTGCACCAACGAGTGCACCCCAGCCCTCAGCAACCTCCAGAGTAGACACAAACACAATTCTAAGCACCTGGAACAAACTGGCTTCCCTACTGCTCCTACCTCACTGCCTCGGTCTTCCCTGCCCAGCAGGTATGACTTTGCCTTCTAAATCTGCACAAGGTGGACGAAAACCTGAGCCTTGCAAACCACCTGCTCTCCCAGGAACTTCATGTCTTCGGTGGGGCAGAGGGCTTCCCCAGGAGCACTGCCACCTAGAACCCCCTTCCCAATGTCTCCAATGTCTTTTTTATATTTATTTATTTTTGAGGCATGGTCTTGCTCTAATGCCTAGCCTGGAGTGCAGTGGTATGAACATGGCTCACTGCAGTGTTGACCTCCTGAACTCAGGCGATTCTCCTGCCTCAGCCTCCTGAGTAGCTGGGACTACAGTATGCACCACTACGCCTGGCTAAATTGTTTTGTTTTGGTTTGGTTTGGTTTTTCTGGGTCTTTTTGCAGAGACAAAGTCTTCCCCTGTTGCCCAGGCTGGTCTCTAACTCCTGGGCTCAAGTGATCGTCCCCACTTACCTTCACTGTCTTTGTTAAGGCTGTTCCCACCTCTCTGGACTCTTGACTAGCAAAAAGGAAGGAGCAGGAAGACCTAGGCCCCAGCAGCAAGAGGAAAGCAGGCAATGGCAGGAGGCCACAGTCTTAGGTTCGGGGCTAACTCCCTTCACACCCGAGGTTGCTGTCTCTGGTTCTCTTTCCCTGACATAGACTAGAAAAAGCTTGACTCTCCATGGGGCTGGCAGAGAAGATGAAAGCTGGCAGTGAAATGGCTTCAGGAAGATCCAAGAATAAATAAACAGGAGAAAGAACAATGTGGTTGCCAGGACTCCCTGACACAGAGTGGGGGCTGAGTACAGAGGATCAGCTCTTCTTCCAGGCTTTAGAGATCGTTCAGATCAACACTCTCACTTGACAGAGGAGGAAAGAGCAAGAAGGGGCTAGGTCACAGCCACCCAGCCAGCCAAGCCAGACCAATACAGGGAAAACACAAAGGTCGACCCCAAGTGCAGGTAGTACTTCCATGGAAAGTCATTGATCTAAGGGTTGAAAAGATGGAAAGATGAATGAAACCTGGTTCTTATTTTCAAGGAGTTTAGAATACCACCTAGAGTCTTAAACACAATTGAACACATACAATACTTGCAGATACTAAAAAAATTCAGAGAGCCCAAAAGTTGTTAGGATGAGTTTCTCATTTATCCCAGACTCCCCAGAACTTCCTGGAAGTCCCCCTTTCTAACAGCTTCTGGTCTCTCCCTTCCAGAAATTCTCTATACTGCTCATTGATTGGCACTGCTCAGATTTATCCAGAACCCAGCAGCAAGCTGAGAGTGGGCTGGAAGCCCCTGCCACATGAAGTCTAGCAGGCCACAAACTGTGAGGGAATTGAAGGTCTAAAGCACCGAAAACACTGGCTTTGCGGTCAGATGGGGTTAAGCTCCAACTCGCTCAGTGACTGGCAGGGAAAGCCAGAAACACAAGTTAACCTGCCTCGGCTGCCCCATCTGTAATCAGGAGCTAAGAATACCTACTTCAGGCCGGGCGTGGCTTATACCTGTAATCCCAGAACGTTGGGAGGCCAAGGCGGGCAGATCACTTAAGGTCAGGAGTTCGAGTTTGAGACCAGCCTGGCCATCATGGTGAAATCCCATCTCTACTAAAAATACAAAAATTAGTCAGGCATGGTGGCTGGTGCATGTCATCCCAGCTACTTGGGAGACTGAGGCATGAGAATCGCTTGAACCCAGGAGGTGAAGGTTGCAGTGAGCTGAGATCGCACCACTGCACTCCAGCCTGAGAGACGGAGAGAGAATGTCTCAAAAAAATCAAAAGAATATCTACTTCAAAAAAGTCACCTGAGATCAGCAACGCGGTGTGATGCACCCAGCACATGGTGGGTGCTCCCTCAGTGGTGGCGATTAGTAGTTCGCCTCCTGCACTTGTCTGCAGCCTCCTTTCTGGCATTAACATTTCAGTGTCTGCTCCCAACTCTCTTCCCTCCTCTACCACAAACCATTTTCTCCTGGATGCATGCCCCTGCCCCATCCCATCTCTCTCAGCCTGTCTCACTTTTTTTTTTTTTTTTTTTTTTGAGATAGAGTCTTGTTCTGTCACCCAGGCTGGAATGCAGTGGTGCAATCTCAGCTCACTGCAACCTCTGTCTTCTGGGTTCAAGCAATTCTCCTGACTCAGCCTCCCGAAGAGCTGGGATTACAGACGCTCGCCACCACACCTGGCTAAGTTTTGTATTTTTAGGAGAGATGGGGTTTCACCATTTTGGCCAGGCTGGTCTGGAACTCCTGACCTCAAGTGATCTGCCCGCCTCAGCCTCCAAAAGCCCTGGGATTATAGGCGTGAGCCACCGCGCCAGGCTCCCTGCCCTGTATCTTATCCTCAGTCTCTCCTAGCTATGTCTCTTCCCTTTCTCTTCCACCTGAACTTCTCTAAGTGAACAACTTATTATGCGCCAGAAGTTGTTCTAAGTGCCTTATATTTGCTAACTTATCTAGTCCCCATGACAAACCTCTGAGGTCTTTACTGTTTTATTCTCATTAGATAAATGAGTTGACCGAGGCCCAGCAGTATTAGATAACTTGTCTGAGGTCACAGACAAGTGGCAGAAGTTGAGCTGAGACTTGAGCACAGGCAATTGGGCTTCAGAATCCATGTTCTCAACCAACACACTCCACCCCTTCTCCCCAGCATTCCCACTCGCCACAGGCCAGCCGGCACAGGACACTTGCAGGACCTAGACGAACATGCAGAAAGATGGGAAAAAATCACACAGCCCCAAAGGGACCCATGCCAGCAGCAATCCCCAGCCCTGCGCAGGTGAGAGGGCAGAAGCTACATCATCTTTGGGTGCCCGTGAAGACAGTCCCAAAGAATCATTTGGAGCAACTGTTGACTTTGTAGAAACCAAGCAAAGATTTGGGACTATATGCTTGGAACAGGGGGCTGGCAATGGGTTGGGGTCTTAGAGGAGCCTCAGTGCCATCTCCCCTGCTCTCAGCGCCCTACCATATCCCTTCTCTAGAAGGTCTGAAGTCCCTCTAGGATTCTCTCATTTATGTCCCAAAGTAAGCTGCACCATTCCTCTGTATAGACAGAGGAGCCAGCTGCCCATCAGGACAGAGGCTCAGCTGCCAGGTGAGCCAGCCGTAATGTCTGCCTACCCAGACGAAGGCCTCCGTCAGTCCAAGGCAAGGGGACAGGGAAGCTCTGCAGGCTCAGCAGCTGTGCACCAAGCAGGAGGCTGGATGTAAGGACGGCAAGGCCAGCCTCCTGCCTCCGCAATGAGCGTGCCCCTTTCTCCGCTACCTCGGGGCAGCTGGGGCCCTGAGGCAGCTATTTTTAGCTCTTGACACCTGGGTATTTTGTAGCCGCAGGATGTCCGGTTTGGAGTCTCTTTCTGGGAATCCCACATGCGACTGTTGTAAACAGCCCCACGCAGCGGTGGCCTGAGCTGGGAGCCAGCGTCACCCCTCCCACCTCTACTTCTGCTGTTTGAGATGAATCAAACAGGAAGCAGATGTAACCATGGCAGCGGCAGCTCGAGCTCCCTGGGGGTGGGAAAGCATCCTCCCTGGTTTGTTGTGCCCACCCCAGATCCCCTGCTCTACCCCGTGTCCTCTCCTCAAGGATGGAGACCTGGCAGAACCTGAGGCCAGGGAGCTGAGCCATTCTGAGTTGCATATGGCTGTTGGTTTCTGGGCCTGGCACTCTCTGGGAACACTTGCTGTTCTCTGACAGAGAAAAACAGGGGTCCTCCCAGCCTTGTCCACCTCCTAGGACCTCTCAGGCCACCACTCAGCCTGCCCTGCAAGTCCATAGTGAAAGGGAGGGCATAGCTACTTCCTAGGGTGGCAGGCCTGGAGCGCCTGCATCTACTTCCTGTTACCCACAGCCTTCGGCTTACAGCTGGTCCTGCCCCTGCACTGCCCTGCCCACTTAGGGAATTCCTGAGCCAGTGAGCTCCCCTAGTCCACACTACCCTAGAATGATTTCTAAGTTCCGAAAAGCCCTCAAAGACATAAGTTCCACACTCATCCTCACTCCTCTGCTCCAGTATCTCCAATCCCTGAGATAGGAAGTTCACCATGATGTCTAACCACCATCTTTCCTATCATAAGCAAAACATCCTGAGCAGGCAAAATTTGAGGCCCTATCTGTAACATGGGGATAAGTCTGCCAGCCTCTGCCTTCATCTCTCCCCTTCTCCTCTACCCTTCTGGCGCCCCACTTAGACCAGCTGCTCCCTCTCAGCAGCCAGTGTGAGCCAGTCTTTCTCAAAGGCCAGTGTTTGTCCCAGCAGGAAGCACAGTCACCGCCCCAGGCTGCCTCTAGGGGCGGCTCCTTCTCCCCTCTGAAGTGTCACACTCATTCCCTTGCTCTCCTTGTCACCCCCAGCTCCTGGGCCCTCCTCAGCCAGACCCTGCCCCTCTGTGTGCCCAGCTCCTGCTTTGCCCACTGGTTCTGCCGCTGCCAGCTGCAGGCCGAGCAAGGAGATGTGCCTTCCTCACTCTTCTCACCTGTGCCACCCACAAGGCCACGCGGCCCACTCCCAAGATTGCCAGGGAAATGTTTAAGTTACAGTATCAACAACAGTAATAGTATTCTAATTATTAATTAATATTAATAATGATCAACAATTACGTGTTAATGCTTACTGTGTGCTGGCTATTGTCTTAAGCATTTTTGGCAGGGGGCAATCTCCTCCCATTAACCCATTAACCTTTTTTTTTTTTTTGAGACCAAGTTTTTCTCTTTGCTGGAGTGCCGTGGCTGGATCTCAGCTCACTGTAACCTCCGCCTCCTGGGTTCAAGTGATTCTCTTGCCTCAGCCTCCCAAGTAGCTGGGGTTACAGGCACCCACCACCATGCCTGGCTAATTTTTGAATTTTTTTTAGTAGATATGGAGTTTTACCATGTTGGCCAGGCTGGTCTTGAACTCCTGACCGCAAGTGATCCACCCATCATGGCCTCCCAAAGTGCTGGGATTACAGGCGTGAGCCACCACGCCCCGCCCCACTAAGCATTTTAATTGTACTACTTCAAGTAGTCCTGACAACTCTGTAAGGTAGATACTGTTTTATTTATTTATTTATTTATTTGAGACAGAGTTTTACTCTGTCACCCAGACTGGAGTGCAGTGGCATGATCTCGGCTGACTGCAACCTCTGCTTCCCAGATTCAAGCGATCCTCCTGCTCAGCCTCCCAAGTAGCTGGGATTACAGGCACGTGCCACCACTCCCAGATAATTTTTGTATTTTTGGTAGAGACAGGGTCTCACTATGTTGGCCAAGCTGGTCTCAAACTCCTGACCTCACTCAATCCACCCACCTTGGCCTCCCAAAGTGCTGGGATTATGGGCGTGAGCCACCAGGCCCAGCCTAGATACTATTATTATTCTCATTTTGCAGTGAGGAGACTGAGATTTGGAGAGGTTCAGAAACTTGCTGAGGTCATATAGATGGTAAGTGTAGCTGCTGGGACTCCAGAAGCTAAGCTTAGCATCAGTACACCGGTGTGGACTGTTAACTCAGCCTGCCTCCTAGTAGGGGGTGGGGTGAGGCCACCGAGGGGGCAAGGGGATGTAAGACACAGTGCGGTCCTAGGGTATGCTCCCAGTGCCAGTCTGTTCCCACAAAGCGTGCTGTGCTCCGCCCCTGCCATCCTCACTTTCTTTTTCATCTTCTATTTTCCTTGCTTTTTAAATGTACATTTTACCATTTTAAAGTGTACCGTTTAAACACTTTATAGCGTTTCCTGTTAGCTGCCTCCAGCAGGGTATAACTAAACAAGCAAACCTCCCAGGGCCGCCACGGAGGATCAAACGCTGCGTGAGCTCTCTGGAAACTGTCAAGCCCTCTACAAAATGCGGGTTGCATAACCAGAGCAAGTCACCCTCAGAGTGGGTACAAAGGGGAAAATTCTCTTGGGAGGAAAAGGTCTCTCTCTTTCTTTCTTTGTCTCTCATTCCTGGGCCTCACCCACAGGCAGGCCTTGGGAAGGTGGAAGGGCTAGAAGCACCCACAAGTGCAATAGGGAGCATCTGCCTTCAGGGCAGCTTCCTAGAGACTAGGAACACAGCCACATGGCTATCAGCATCCCTGGATCTGGGGCAGAGGAAGGCGGAAGCCACAACGGAGACCCTGGTCTGCACTCAGTAAGAACCAGGCAAACCAAACTAAGGCATCTCGTATGTGAATAGCCACAAGCTGTGAATGCTGACACTCACAGGGATGCCACAGTAACATTCGTGAAAGTAAATATCCTAGAGGTCCCATCCCGGTGGTGCCCTAGAATCCCCCTCGTTTTGCCTATTATTTTTGAAGACCGCAGGAGTCTAGTTGGTAGATTCTCCAGGCGACCTGATCCCCTTTTGCAGCCTTGGTTGAGTCTTGGTTGAAGGGGTTTTTCCAGATCACAAATCCAGCCAGGGTGCTTCCACAGCATTCAGAGGGCACTCAACATACAGATGAATGGTCCTGGGCACTGATTTGGACAAACCAGCCGTAAGGACAATTTCTGGCCAACTGGGAATTCAGTAAGATGAAAATTTACCATAATGGAAGGTGGAAATCACTGACTGAAAAAGCAGCATATGCAGAGTAATCTCATTTTGGTAAAAATTACAACACATAAGACACATAAGGAAATGGAAAGGTGTGCAGTGATCTCTCACTGACGGGTCTGTGATGTTTTTTATTTTTTAGTTTTTGCTGGTCTGTCCTGTCTGAGTATCCACAATGCACATGGACTGCCTCTGTAATAATAAAGCAGCATATACATGTACATAGACACACATAACGATGGTACAGCCCTTGGCTGCAAAGTTAAAGTGTGACCTCGGGTTCCCGTGAGAATTAGTCCACAGGGCTTTCATCGCCCCCGTGTCTTCCTGAACCATCTATACTCTGAGGTTCCATGTTTTCTACAACCTAGTGTGTCCTCTGCCTCTCCAGAATCCCATCAAGGGCCCAGCACAGGGCTGGGCACAAAGTCAGGACTTACTTAATGAATGCCTTCTGGCTGAATAATGATCATTTCCTGAAAGAAATGCCTCATGCCTCTTCCAGAGCCGCTGTGCTGGGAATACTCACTGCTGACATCACTGACCTGCCCACCCCTCCTCTGCCTCATGTTCTTCATAAGAGCAACAAGGAAGGGCTAAAATAAAGGTCACGCCAGCAGATGCTGGCAAGGTACTCCACTCCACATTAGGGCCATTCATCAGGGGCAGGGCCATCAGGGGCAGCCCCTCCCAGACCCTCCTCAAGCTGGCACAGCAGCCCCTCTCCAGGGCCAGCTGGCTTCAAGGCCCTGAGGTCCCTCCTCCCCCTGCCTCACTGGGTAAGACTGGGGGAGGTGAAGTGAAGGAGAGAAGCAGGGGTCCACCCTATGACTTCTGGCTACAGGCTCTGGCTGTTCCAGGCCCTGATGGGTGGAGGAATCTGGAACAGGGATTTGGCCTGGTTTTTTCTGTGAACTGAGGCTAGGCCCAGTTTCTGTTCTTCATGCTGCAATGTTCCCTATGCCTGACCTTCAGAAAATATGAACAATAACATTAATAATAATGACAAATATTCAGTGAGCACTGACTTCATACCAGGCACGGAGTTAACTTTATTTACATTATCTCCTTTCATCTTTATAGCAACTCCATAAAGTTGAAACTGTAATTATTTTTACATTACAGATGAAGAAGCGGAGGCACAGAGCGAAATGTGCCCATGATCACACTTGCAGGAGAAACCGAGCGAAGGCCATCCCATTCCTCCCTCTGCGTCCTTACAGGAAGCTCTCCTGCCAGGCTTTGCCAGGGACACAGTAGGGTCTAAGACGATAATTAACATCTGTAGAGTGCTCTAAGCACCAAGTGTTTACATATGCATAGAGAAACGCCCCGCTTAAAACTAGGAAATCGAGTCTCAGAGCCATCAGCATCCTTGCTCAAGATCCCGCACCTTTCGGCTGGGATTCAAACCAGGTCTCTAGCGTCAGAATGGCACATTTCTTCCCCATTATCACACGATACCCCTTGCTCACTCTCAAGGTGGCCTGGAAGGGACAGTCACACCTCCTTTAGTGCTGGAAGCCGGGGGAGAAGCCTGCGCTCAGCCCCTCGCCCCGTGGGGGTGGGGTGCTGCGCCAGCACCTCCTCAGCGTCTCCGCCGTGACTCACTCCCGGGACCCAGGGGAAGCACAGCCCTGTGCTGCGGGCAAACATCGTCCGCCGCCCGCCCCGCCTCCAGCTCCCCGCCTCCACATTTGCTAACCGAAACAAGGCTGCAGCTATTTTTAACCCTCCAGCTCCCCCTTGCCTGGGGCTCCCCCTTCACCTCTCCACCCCCCGCCCCAGCCGGGTGCCACCAGCCTGTCATTCTGAGAGCAGTTCTATAACCTGAACGCGCCCGGGAGGGCGCAGCGGACGCCCCGGACGTGCAGGTTTGTGGGGCAAGCAAAACAAGACGGTTACAGCCCAATTGCCGAATTCCCCCACCCCGGACTCTTTCCGAACCTGTAACTCTCAGACTGCCCCGCTGCTCCTGCCATTCTCGGGGCTGGGGTGGAGGGGAATGGGACTTCTGGGCTGGGGTCACCTCAGGGGTCACAGCACGGCTCCTTGGAACAGGCCCTGCAGGGAGGAAGCTGAACTGAAGGGGAATGGAGTTCCCCTAAGGATCCCCAGGGTGAAGCTGACCCTATAGGCCTAAAGCTTCTGACCACTAGGGTGTCCAATCCCTGTAGCCAACATGGAGGAAAAAGGAAGTGGTGTGAAGACAGGGTGAGGATGGTGAGCTTAGCCCAGGGCCCTCCTTGCGAGAAGTCCCCTCCCCATCCTGCTGTGGGGGCTGTGGAGCTTGGGCAGGGAAGGTCTTGGAGTCAGGGAGAACACTGAGCAGCCTCTAGAGAGAGACCCAGGGTGGAAAGACAGCCTTGGCAGTGTGCAGGTGGGAAAGCCCACCTGGTATGAGGGCTCCTCTGACACTCACGTCTTTAAGGAAAGGGCCAAGGCCAGGGAATACCTTCCTGCAGCCTTAAGCTCTGAGTCCGCAGAAAAACCTTTCTGGGAGAAGAGGCTGCAGGTGAGAGGGGCTGAAGCCTGCTGGCCTAGAGCCGGAACCTGAAGCTCAAGTTGCTAATGTGAAAGTTAACCTCCTGAGAGAGGGGTGAAGCCGTAGGGCTGCAGGTGGACCAGATAGGGGCATTTCCTCCCAGCTGACGTAGAGCCGGTGGCTTGAATCAGTTCCATCTGGCCCTCTGGTCTCAGAGTCTCCCTCAGTTTGAGTAGGAGATTCCAAGTGCCCAGGAGAGACTCTGGAGAGCCCAGCCAAAGGGCCACATGGGCTCAGGTCTTCCTGGTGTACCTCTCGTGTCCCAGCCTCCACTCTCCCTTAAGCCCTGTCCTCTCTGGTCCCAACCCCAGCCTGCCCTTCTGGTTCTCTCCTCTTTTCCAGGGCCCAGGTCCTCTGTAGGCCTTGACCCTCTCTCATTGGTGATTCCTGAGCCAAGTAAATAAATCCCAGTGGCCACAGAGGGAGCAGGCTAGACCAGAGGGGAGGGACTTGGCACAGAGGTTCCCCAATTGGGGAGATGACGGAGAAGGGAAAGAGGTGGGAGGAAGGTGAAACAGGAGAGTTCCTGGGGAGAGGAGGCTCCTGCCTCCTTCTCAACATTCAGTATGGCCACAGGGCTATGGACTCAGCCCCATGGAGGAAAAAGCATGCTCCCCAACCAAGGGAGCAGCCTTGATCTTGGCCTTGTGCAGCTCCCCGTTCTGTTCTCCCTTCTGCCAACCTTCTACTCGATGGAAGGAGACTGCTGGTTTCCATGCCAAGTGAGAGGCTGGCAATTCAGCTCCAACCCTCCGCCATTGCTTAGCCCAGGACCTCCACCTGGATCCAGGTAGTTCCCAAGCACGGCTCCAGAGGCTCGAACGGCTCCCTTCCAGCCTGGGGAGGCGAGAGCCGGCATCCATGTCACCTTCTTAGGCAGGCCTCCCCTGGCCACCCTATCAAAGGAAGTCCCACCTTGTTATTCTCTATTGCCGTGCCCCATTCATTTCCTTCTTAGGGCTTATCGCAGTGTGGAACTAGTCACACATACTCATTCCTTTACTTGCTTACTTGTTCGGTTTGTCTTCTCCACGAGAGTGGAAGTTCCCTGAGGTCAGATGTTGTGCCTTGCCTATGTGTTCACTGCATATCTGTACCCAGTACCTGGAACATTGTAAAGCTCAGCTAGGATCCAGTGAATGGATGAATTGCTGAATGACTGGCTCAGTAACATGGTTCCCTGGTTGCCAACATTGACCTTTAGGGTTGACACTCAACAGTTCCAGGATTTCTCCAAAAAGGAGAAAGCAGAATGTGGCAGGAAGAGCCAGATCAGGAAATAGGAAAGCCAAGACCCCAGGGGAAAGATCAGCCCCCATTAGCACCAGCCCAATTGGGTCCACGACAGGTCTTAGACGCCTTGAGTTTTCTCTTGGTCCTTCCTCTTAATGGCCCTGTCACCTTAGAAAACCCACGTATCTTCTGTGGGTCTCAGTTTCCTCAAAAGAAAAAATGAAGAGGTTGGCCCAAGGCAGTGGTCCTCAAATACAGCTTTGTCCCAGAATCGCCTGAAGCACCTGTTAAAATCCAGATTCCGACCAGTCAATCTGGAATGGGCCTGAGGATCTTTATTATTTTTTTAATTTTGAGACAGAGTCTCACTCTGTCGCCCAGGCTGGAGTGTGGTGGCACGATCTCAGCTCACTGCAACCTCCACCTCCTGGGCTCAAGTGATTCTCCTGCCTCTGCCTCCCAAGTAGCTGGGACTACAGGCCTGCGCCACCCGCCTGAATAAATTTGTATTTTTAGTAGAGATGGGGTTTCACCTTGTTAGCCAGGCTCCTGACCTCAAGTGATCTGCCTGCGTCAGCCTCCCAAAGTCACCACGTCCAGCCAGGATCTTTTTTTTTTTTTTTTTTAAGACAGAGTCTTGCTCTGTTACCCAGGCTGGAGTGCAATGGTACGATCTCAGCTCACTGCAACCCTTGCCTCCTGGGTTTAAGCAGTTCTCTCTCAGCCTCCCAAATAGCTGGGATTACAGGAGCACGCCACCATGCCCGGCTAATTTTTTGTATTTTTAGTAGAGATGGAGTTTCACCATGTTGGCCAGGCTTGGTCTCTTAACTCGTGACCTCAGGTGATCCACTCGCCTCGGCTTCCCAAAGTGCTGGGATTACAGGTGTGAGCCACCTCTCCTGGCCCAGGATCTTTATTTTTAACACATTCCCCAGGTGACTCTGAAGCAAATGGTCCAGGAACCCAAATTTGAGAATCCCAAATGAAATGGTGTTTTATAAGCAGACATCTGGACTTCTATTAGAAAGCCACTCCTGGCCAGGCACAGTGGCTCACACCTGTAATCCCAGCACTTTGGGAGGCCGAGGTGGGCGGATCACCTGAGGTCAGGAGTTCGAGACCAGCCTGACCAACATGGAGAAACCCCATCTCTACTAAAAATACAAAATTACCCGGGCATGGTGGCACATGCCTGTAATCCCAGCTACTCGGGAGGCTGAGGCAGGAGAATCGCTTGAACCTGGGAGAGGGAGGTTGCGGTAAGCCGAGATCATGCCACTGCACTTGAGCCTGGGCAAAAAGAACGAAATTCCATCCCAAAAAAAAAAAAAAAAAAAAAAAGCCACTCCTGCACAGGTATATACTCCCCAAAAACATGTCCACATATTCCATATACCCCACACAGGGCCATAACCTGCAAAGGTGCATACCATACGGATGATGCACGTCTGTTTTATATGTGTGCATACTCCCAAAACACCCAACACAGAGCCACCACACAGAACACAAATTGCCCAGAGCCACCACATCAACATACACAGGGGTAGGACAGCCAGTACACACACAGATACCCACCGCACACCCAATGTGTGCTCACACACATCTCATGCAGACCCACACTAAACAGACACTGTCCTGAATTTATTTTGCCTCTGGGAACTGGTCCAGGACCAAAGGAGCTATGCTCTGCTAATGAAAACATCCCTCCCACCTCTGCCACCCCCACCCCTGCCCCTTGCCCCAGGCAGCATGCTATCCACCTCTCCCTGGCAGGGGGAGGGAGACTGGAGGAGGGCAGTGGAGATGGGCTGGGAGGAGACAAAGGCCAGGCTAGCCCCTCAAGCTGCTCAGAGCCCTTCCTGAAGTCCAGCCCCCCCCTTTCCCTCCCTCTCCCCCCCAGAAGATGCCAAAGGGCCTCCACCCAGCCCCCAAGTCCATGCTCACTCAGGCCACTTGCCTAGATTCCCAGGCCCTGCTCCTAGGGAGCCAGAAGGGTTAGGGAGGTGGCTAGTATTAGGGACTCCTCCTAATACTCAGGCCTCTAAGGAAAGGGCTGTCTGGGGGCACCTTCCTGTAGCCCTAAGGCCTGGGGCCTCCAGGGAAGGTTACCACAGAAACAGGGGGAAAATATTACAAGGAAACACAATACCCGGCAGGGTCACCTGCTGACCGGGCTTCCTGCTGGGTTGCCCACCCCCAGCTCACTGCTCTCACAGCCTCCTTCTCCAGCCTCAGCCTGGGCCTCCTCACCAAGGCTCTCCTTCCTGCCTCCCCAGGACTGGGAGAAGCAGCCTTAAGCAGAAACTCTGCCCCTCTGTGGTTCCAAACAACATCAGGGATGGCCCAGAGCTGAGCCCCCCACTCCTAATCCTTACCAACCCCTCCTCACCACCACCACAGGAAATCAAAGCTTCCTGCCCCAGAGGAAGTGCCCCATCTAGTGAACAAATCCAACACAAACGCAGGGTCCTGGGAGCCTCCAGGAGGACAAATGCCCTCCCCCTAGCCCCAGGCCTTTTTCGGGCCCTGCTTGCAGCAATCACCCACACCCCACTGGAGGCCCCAGTCCCAAGTCTAACTGAGGGGCAGGCCAGGGAGAGCCAAGCTGTGGAGGGAGGGAGAGCAGAATGGGAACTGGCAGACTGAGAAGGCCTGGTTCTCAGCCTGGTTCTCGCCCCGCTCCTCCTGCTGTTTCCTAGCTGGGTGACCCTGGGCCTTGCTTTAGCTCATCTTCTCTCAGGCCCCTGCCAACTTCAAAATTACCAGCCCTTAATGAAAGGCCAGGAGAAAGAAGGCAAGCAGGAGGTGGGGTTCCACAGGCTTCTGTCTTCCAAGTTCTTGGGCAAGTATGCCCACAGCTACCAGAGGGTCCCCACTCCCTACCCCCTCACACATGCATTCTCACTTGCCCAGGGGTTTTGCATCAGAATTGAGAAAGTTCCAGCTTCCATGCCCAGAAGCCACTAAGGACTAAAGCTGAGGTCCATTATCCCTAAGCAAACTGGAGGGGGTGGATAATAACACTGGACCTTGATTCTCCTCTCCATAACCAACCTCTCCTGCTCTTCTCTGGGAAGCATGCTTGGAATCTTCTCCCCATTTTATTGATGGGGAAACTGAACTTCAATGTCAAAGTGGAGTGAACAGCTTAGACATGCAAACTTCTCTGCCCCAAAACCAAGTATAAGACCCGGTGGCCACAGAGACACCCACCCAATGAGGGACACAGAGGCCTCTGGAGAACACCATTCCAGGTGCAACACCAGGAGGCAGCTCTGAGCTTGCCTCTCAGCATAGTCCTGCTGAGCAAGGAGGGACATCAGGGGACTAAAGGCAGAAGACCAGTCCCAATAGGTCCAAGACGTGGTGCCAGTCTAGGTTCACTGGGCTGGGTACCACTCAGTGGGATACTCTGTGCCTTAGTTTCCCTCAGAAGTGACTGCAGAGGAGAAGAAAATGATTTAATAACTCATGGATGGCAGCAGTCTAGAAGCCTATGGAGTCCTGGGAGGAGGAAAGGGCCGCAAAAGCGCCCCATTAGAGGGCAAGGACCTGAGTCACAGTCTCCTTCCAGCCCTATGGGTGAACGGGGGTCTTGAGGAAGGTCCCACAGGTCCAGATGCAAGTCCAGGGAACAAACAGGCTGAGAAGTCATCTTGAGCTCCCAGCAGGGCCGCTGAGGACCGATGCCCCATTCTCACTCTAGAAAGCGGCAGGCAGAGCTGGGCCTCAGGCAGATGCTGCCTAGGGGAGTGGGCAGGGAGTGTTGGCAGCAAGACAGCCAGTGTCCAGATGCAGGGGAGGCCTTTGGGTGTGCGGGACAGCCAGCGGGGAGGAAGAGTGAGGAGCAGCCGCGGCTGGGGAGGTCAGAACCAAACGGGCAGCCACAGCGGGAAGCAATGGGGGTGGGGTCATTGGTGGCCTGCAGGCCACAGAGGGCTCTCTCCCAGCCCACAGGCCTACAAAGTCTGGTCGTGGGAACCCAGCCCATCCGCCAGATTTGCTGCCTGCTCTCACACTCCCCAACACCAACAGACCCCAGGGTACACATCCTGACCCCCCACCCCTCACACAGCCTGCGGCGCCCCCCTTCCCGCGTCTCTGCCAGCATTGCCCTCCACAGCTCTCTAGGGCACAGGTGTCTCTTTACCCTGATGGGAGAGCAACGACGGGGGGCGATCCTCGGAGAAACCTCCCAGCCAGGGATCCCTCCAAGGGACCTCTTTCCCCGCCGAAGGATCTGAATAGGGCCCTGCCCGGCACCACGGGATGGGGGCGCTGATGTCCAGCCCCACAAAGCCCAGCCCCAAATCAGTGGGTCCTGCCCTTTGCCCTCGCGCTTCCAAACCTTCCGCCCCGGAGCACCGCCCCCTCGCCGGGCCACCGCGGCCGTCCCTCCCTTCCCGGTCCCTGGGCTCGTCCTCCCCGGGAACGGGGGTGATGGGATGTCGGGCCCGCGCACCGGCGGCCGGGGCCTCCAACTCCCTCCCTTGGGCCTGTCGCTGCCCCGGGGCGGGCGGATGCGGGCGCCCCGCGGGAGGCCCGAGCCCTCTGGCGCCCGGAACCAGCTCCGACCCGGAGCCTGCCAGAGCCCGGGAGAGCCGGGCGGGACGGGCGCGGTCCGGGGGCGCACGCCGGGCTGGGCCCGCGGGGCCGGCTGGAGCCCAAGCCGGAGCCGGAGCCGGAGCCGGGGCCGGAGGCCGAGCCTGGGCGGGCGGCGCTGGGTGCCGCGCGCAGGGCGGGGCGGGGAGCGGCCGCCCAGTACTCACCAGCGCTGGGGCTTTGCATCCAGGGGCCGGGGCCCTTAGAGCGGGGGGCTCATGGCGGGGCGGGGGGCTGGGGCGCCGGCCTCACATCCCCCCAGTCGCCGGAGGCTGCAGAGCGACTGTGAGACGGCGAGAGGAAGGGAGGGGGCCGGGAGGGGGAGGGCCCTGGCAGCCCGGCCGGCCGGGTAGGATGACAATGGAAGGAAATGCTTTATCTGAGTCTGAGAGCGGGCCAAGGGGGAGGGGAGGGAGGGGGCAGGCGTTCGCGGCCCTGGGACACACCACCCCGGCAGACACTGCACCGCGCGGCAAACAGGCGGGCCGCAGACGCCGCGCGCGGCCGGATCGCGGCGGGGCGCGGCGCACGGCCCGGGAGGCAGCGCCGAACCCGGAACGCCGGCCGCGGCCCCGAGCCCGAGCTGCCGCGAGGCGCTCCGAGCCGCGCACAATTCCCGGAAACCCAGCTACCTGGGCGCACGCACCCTCGCATACACAGCGCACACGAGCTCGCATCCATGTTTACACGGGGCAGAATCATTCACACAGCACACACTGGGGCTTCGGGGTGAACCCGGTGCACACATTACATACCCGTACAGCCCACAAGCACGCAGCCACACGCGGGCAGAGTGGGACACGCGTGG